CTTCCATTATTGCACTCAAGTTTGTCCGTATCACATTCATACGATTGAGTAATTCGGCTAGTTTCATTTCGATTTCTTTTTTAACTGCATCACGCTCAACTTTATCTGCTCGTAATTTTTGTACCTCTATAGCTAATATTTGCGTATTTTCATCTTCTACAGGAAGCTGCTGTAATTGTTCTTCAACTTTTATCAATTTCTCTTCATCATATGGTTCGGTACGCAGCTTTTCTAATTCCATCTTGATAATCATTTCTTTTTCTTGTTTTTCTATTTTTGACAGATTATCCAATCGTTCTTTTACAAGCACGTAAATATGATTCAGTTGTTCGGCTAATGTTTCAATTGATGGTTGAGATATACGAGCAACATGAATACGAATTCGTTTTGCTTCATCATCTTTTGCTTGTAAAAATTGCAGCTTAGCTTGTAATGAAGGTAATTGATGATTTAGCATCTGAAATAAAAAATGAAAATAATTCTTTTTTTTTTTTTTTTTAAATTAAAAAATATTATCAAATTTAAAATAATAAAATTAAAAATAGAAAATTTTTTGATCAAAATAACCTCCTCAAATTGTTCACGATTAATCGATTCCATTGAAAATTTGCCATTAAGATATTCTAATTCTTGAGCCAATTGTTGAGCAGATTCATTCAGAATATTTTCATCGTGTAATTCGCTATTTATCAAAGATATGAGATTTTCATATTGCTGTTGTGTTTGCTCAACATCTACATCATAAAAGCGAACATCTGCATATGCAGTTTCCAGTGGATGTAACTGTTCGGAAAGGCTTTGCAATTTTGACATCACACTACGTAAATCATTCAATTCATTAGCTGCTTTCTAAAATATCAGCTTATATAGTTCAAGAGAAGAAGAAAACTAATCAATTTCATAATAAAATAAGAGATGAAAATTTTCGAGTATACAAACCTTAAGTTTATCGAGATCATCAATTACTTCTTCACATGATCTAATATGCTTATTTCCAATCTCATCAAGTGGCTTTCGTTTTATTTCAAGCTGATCTGTTGCATTATCTCGTTCATCAACAAACTGTAACCATAGATTGGCATGATGTGACAAATTGGCTTGAAGTACTTTTGCATCCTTAACAGTTGCCTTTAAACGTATAGCCATTTCGTCATTTTCCAGCATTGTTTGAAGCAATTTTGTTGCCATTTCAAGAGGGCTCACAAATGCATCCATTGTAGTAGTATATATAGTTGGAATTGCTTCAGCATCATTTAGCACTTCTTCACCTTCTTTAATTAAAACGTTCAATTCATCATACAAATGATTGCCATCTTCATGCATTTTTTCTGCGATACGCAAATCACTGATTCGTTTCTCTACCATTTGTTGACCATCCTGTAATTGAATAAAAATAAATGAAATTTCAATAAAATAAATATAATTTTATTCATATCAACACAATTCAACATGAATATCATTAAATTTTTACCTTTAGATGATCCAAAGCTTTTTCGATTGTATGAAGAAGATTCTGCTTTTCGGTAATTTTGTCCACATCAAGATTTCTTTCATCAATATCATCGATTTTATTTTTAAACCTTTCCAAACTAATAAATTTATCCTAAATAAATAATAATAATACTTTACTATAAGTGATCAATACTAATAAAGCAATTCATTTATGAAAAAAGAAAGAAATATTTAAAGGCAAAATAAATATAAATAAAATAACAAACTTACATTTATATCACACAATTGATGCTCAAGTTCAGATAGAGTAATTTCATCAGAAATTAATATTGGCATTGATTGCAATGATGAGAGTTGTATTTCAATTTCATCTCTAATTGCATTGAATGATGCTAATGCTGCAAGCTTTTCTCCAACTGCATCAGCTAACCGTTTTAGAATATCATTCAGTTGTGCCAGTAATCTATTACCATCCTCACGTAACTTATTACCTTCATCATTCATCGGAATATTTTCTAGCAAAATTTCAAGTTGATGTTTCTTTCCTTCAAGCTCACTTAATGCATTATTTTGTTCTTCAACTGTTTGCAATGGTATTTGTTCCATTTCATTTATATAATGTTGCACATTTTCGTTGATCAAATTTATCTCCGCAGTTGTGGAATATAATTTGGCACGATCGGTTAATTTCTCTTTCTTATCATCAAGTGCATTTTGTAATTGTACAACACGATCATAAAGATCATCACTTATTAATGCACGTTTTACCATACCTTCCGAATTATGTAATTTTCCTTCTAGTTTTTCAACTTTTCCTTTCAATTTTCGCAAATTTTCAGTTAATTCACCAATGCTCATCAATTGTTGTGATGGCTCATTTATGCTATCAACTCCAATAACATCATCACCAATTGAAGTTATTGTCGATAGTATTTCATGAACATTTTGCATCAATTCTTGCTCCTTTTTCATATCTTTTTCCAGTGGAAGAAGTAAATTTTTAATCTTATTCTTTATAATATCTGCTTTCTTTAATAAATTCTCTCTGAGCCCACGTTCAATGATATTTTCCATTGCTGATGTTGGAATCTGATTCAGAAGTGAATGCAATTGATCGATATCTTCCATAGCAATTGATAAATCTTGTGAAGTGATATATTTGTTGAGAAAATCATCAGCTTTTTGTTCCATATCATCAAGCTGTCGTTGGATATCATCAAATAGATTCTCCTGCTCCTTTGCATGATTCAATTTATCATTCACACGTGTTGATAAATCATTATATCGATCTGTTAGTTTATCGACATCATGATAAAGCTCTTTAATATTTTCAGTTTTTACCGGTAGTATTAGATCTCTGATACGATCCGATTTTTCAACTACCATTGGTAAAATTATATCTCTGAAATTCTTCAATGAATTCATCGTTCCTTCAAGCTTTTCAAAATCATTTTCGGCATTAATAAGAGTTTGCTTGAAATCATTGATTAAACATGATAGATTATTTTCAGCTTCCAATTCTTGCTTCTTTCTCACAAGCTCATCGTACCATTGTTGGAAATTTTTGTTCACATCTGATAAACGATTACCGAAATCTTCAACTGTAAAAACAGGCTTCAATAATGGTGTTAATTGTTCTTTCAATTCGTATAATTCTTTCAATGATTCTTCTAATTTATTAACATCATTAAGCCTTTTCTCAGCAACGGATAATTCACAACTGGCATTTGGAATTTCCAGTTTATGTGCATCATTTTCAAGATCCATCAACTGCTTGTTTACATTATCCGCTATTTCGTCAAATTTATTCAGCATATCAAGTCGATCTTCTAAAATTCTTTCAACATTATCATATTGCTCATTTAGTGTTGAAATTTCATCAATTACTTTCTCACGTAATGAATCCGTATCTGGTATTGTTTCCAATTTATCATATGCATCTTGTAATACTGTCAAATGTGATCGACCATTTTTGAGATCATCAATTGCTTTCTTCAAATCGTTTGTTGTTGCATTAGTATCATTTTCAACTTTATACGCTTCATCTACCATATAGTGTAGCTCTTTCGTTTCGTTGTTAATTGTTGATTGTAATGTTACATAAGCAGCTTCATTCATCAATTGCTCTTCAGTTTCATTCAGAAGATGATTAACATTTTCATACTGATCAACTATAGATGATATTCTTAAATCGTTTGAATGTTGCACCAGTTTTATTGGTTTCCTTTCCTTTTCTTTCAATTCTTCCAATATATCACTTACTTTTGCAAGTTCATTTTTTAATTCTTCTAATCGTGCAGCATGTGTTTCATCATATGGTGCACTACGAACCATTATGGCACAATCATTTAATTTACTCAATTGGTTGATCAAATCGTTTTGCATATCAACAAGTTGCTTTTGTGTTGAAACATCTTCAATAAGCGATGATAATAAATTCTGAAATAATTTTTTTCTAACTAAAAATTTTTCAAGATCAATAAATGATAAATAATCATAAAATATAATATTAAATTTAAATTACGCAAATTGAAATAGAAAAAGAGAGAGAAAGAGAAAAAAAAAAATTATATATAATTAAATACCTCAATATCTTTGGCAGTTTTTTCAATTCTTTGCTTCATTATATTGATTGCAGAATGATAGTTTGGTAAATTTTGCACTACATTCTCTTCAATATTGATCGTTTTCTTTAATAATTCCATGATCTGTTTTTGTAATCCTTCTAATATATTTATATCGTTTGTTGCTGTTGTATACGATTGTGGTTCTGTATAATTAATAAATAATCTTTCCATATTATCATTAATTTCTCGTATTTCATCTTCTAATTTATCGTAAGCAATTTTCCAATCAGCGAATGATTTCTGATGATTTGCAATAGATTCCCGTAAAATACGTAGCTTATCAATAAGAGACATTGCTTCATTCAACATCATATTGCCATCATAATCTTTTAACTTATCCAATGTTGAAATCATGAATTGCTCCAAATTTTCAATATTTTTCGCTTTTTCTTCAATATCTTCTAGATTATCAGCATTTTTTACATCATATGTTAGCAATTGATTAGCTAAACATATTTTTTCTTCTAATTCTGCAAGCTCAGATTGTACCATTTTCATTTCCTCTTTTTCTGCTAGCTTCTCATCCAATTTTCTCTGCAAAAATATAATATATTAATGATTCAAGAATGTTGAAAATGATGATGATATTATAAAATGTAAGAAAAAACGTTCATATTTTAATTTAAGGAAGCAAATTTACCTTGCATTTTTCAGCGAAATTTTGTGTATTTTCAAGTTCAGATTGAAGTGATGGAAGATTGATGCTCTCTTGATGCGATCGAGAAATAAGCTCATTCATTGGTGGTAAAATTTCACCAAATGTTTCATTTAACGCTGATTCAAATGCATTAATTTGTTCATCAATATCGGTTAATGCTTTTTTATTCTTTTTTGTTCTTCCTTTTTCCGATTCTTTCTCTTCCATTATTGCACTCAAGTTTGTCCGTATCACATTCATACGATTGAGTAATTCGGCTAGTTTCATTTCGATTTCTTTTTTAACTGCATCACGCTCAACTTTATCTGCTCGTAATTTTGTACCTCTATAGCTAATATTTGCGTATTTTCATCTTCTACAGGAAGCTGCTGTAATTGTTCTTCAACTTTTATCAATTTCTCTTCATCATATGGTTCGGTACGCAGCTTTTCTAATTCCATCTTGATAATCATTTCTTTTTCTTGTTTTTCTATTTTTGACAGATTATCCAATCGTTCTTTTACAAGCACGTAAATATGATTCAGTTGTTCGGCTAATGTTTCAATTGATGGTTGAGATATACGAGCAACATGAATACGAATTCGTTTTGCTTCATCATCTTTTGCTTGTAAAAATTGCAGCTTAGCTTGTAATGAAGGTAATTGATGATTTAGCATCTGAAATAAAAAATGAAAATAATTCTTTTTTTTTTTTTTTTTAAATTAAAAAATATTATCAAATTTAAAATAATAAAATTAAAAATAGAAAATTTTTTGATCAAAATAACCTCCTCAAATTGTTCACGATTAATCGATTCCATTGAAAATTTGCCATTAAGATATTCTAATTCTTGAGCCAATTGTTGAGCAGATTCATTCAGAATATTTTCATCGTGTAATTCGCTATTTATCAAAGATATGAGATTTTCATATTGCTGTTGTGTTTGCTCAACATCTACATCATAAAAGCGAACATCTGCATATGCAGTTTCCAGTGGATGTAACTGTTCGGAAAGGCTTTGCAATTTTGACATCACACTACGTAAATCATTCAATTCATTAGCTGCTTTCTAAAATATCAGCTTATATAGTTCAAGAGAAGAAGAAAACTAATCAATTTCATAATAAAATAAGAGATGAAAATTTTCGAGTATACAAACCTTAAGTTTATCGAGATCATCAATTACTTCTTCACATGATCTAATATGCTTATTTCCAATCTCATCAAGTGGCTTTCGTTTTATTTCAAGCTGATCTGTTGCATTATCTCGTTCATCAACAAACTGTAACCATAGATTGGCATGATGTGACAAATTGGCTTGAAGTACTTTTGCATCCTTAACAGTTGCCTTTAAACGTATAGCCATTTCGTCATTTTCCAGCATTGTTTGAAGCAATTTTGTTGCCATTTCAAGAGGGCTCACAAATGCATCCATTGTAGTAGTATATATAGTTGGAATTGCTTCAGCATCATTTAGCACTTCTTCACCTTCTTTAATTAAAACGTTCAATTCATCATACAAATGATTGCCATCTTCATGCATTTTTTCTGCGATACGCAAATCACTGATTCGTTTCTCTACCATTTGTTGACCATCCTGTAATTGAATAAAAATAAATGAAATTTCAATAAAATAAATATAATTTTATTCATATCAACACAATTCAACATGAATATCATTAAATTTTTACCTTTAGATGATCCAAAGCTTTTTCGATTGTATGAAGAAGATTCTGCTTTTCGGTAATTTTGTCCACATCAAGATTTCTTTCATCAATATCATCGATTTTATTTTTAAACCTTTCCAAACTAATAAATTTATCCTAAATAAATAATAATAATACTTTACTATAAGTGATCAATACTAATAAAGCAATTCATTTATGAAAAAAGAAAGAAATATTTAAAGGCAAAATAAATATAAATAAAATAACAAACTTACATTTATATCACACAATTGATGCTCAAGTTCAGATAGAGTAATTTCATCAGAAATTAATATTGGCATTGATTGCAATGATGAGAGTTGTATTTCAATTTCATCTCTAATTGCATTGAATGATGCTAATGCTGCAAGCTTTTCTCCAACTGCATCAGCTAACCGTTTTAGAATATCATTCAGTTGTGCCAGTAATCTATTACCATCCTCACGTAACTTATTACCTTCATCATTCATCGGAATATTTTCTAGCAAAATTTCAAGTTGATGTTTCTTTCCTTCAAGCTCACTTAATGCATTATTTTGTTCTTCAACTGTTTGCAATGGTATTTGTTCCATTTCATTTATATAATGTTGCACATTTTCGTTGATCAAATTTATCTCCGCAGTTGTGGAATATAATTTGGCACGATCGGTTAATTTCTCTTTCTTATCATCAAGTGCATTTTGTAATTGTACAACACGATCATAAAGATCATCACTTATTAATGCACGTTTTACCATACCTTCCGAATTATGTAATTTTCCTTCTAGTTTTTCAACTTTTCCTTTCAATTTTCGCAAATTTTCAGTTAATTCACCAATGCTCATCAATTGTTGTGATGGCTCATTTATGCTATCAACTCCAATAACATCATCACCAATTGAAGTTATTGTCGATAGTATTTCATGAACATTTTGCATCAATTCTTGCTCCTTTTTCATATCTTTTTCCAGTGGAAGAAGTAAATTTTTAATCTTATTCTTTATAATATCTGCTTTCTTTAATAAATTCTCTCTGAGCCCACGTTCAATGATATTTTCCATTGCTGATGTTGGAATCTGATTCAGAAGTGAATGCAATTGATCGATATCTTCCATAGCAATTGATAAATCTTGTGAAGTGATATATTTGTTGAGAAAATCATCAGCTTTTTGTTCCATATCATCAAGCTGTCGTTGGATATCATCAAATAGATTCTCCTGCTCCTTTGCATGATTCAATTTATCATTCACACGTGTTGATAAATCATTATATCGATCTGTTAGTTTATCGACATCATGATAAAGCTCTTTAATATTTTCAGTTTTTACCGGTAGTATTAGATCTCTGATACGATCCGATTTTTCAACTACCATTGGTAAAATTATATCTCTGAAATTCTTCAATGAATTCATCGTTCCTTCAAGCTTTTCAAAATCATTTTCGGCATTAATAAGAGTTTGCTTGAAATCATTGATTAAACATGATAGATTATTTTCAGCTTCCAATTCTTGCTTCTTTCTCACAAGCTCATCGTACCATTGTTGGAAATTTTTGTTCACATCTGATAAACGATTACCGAAATCTTCAACTGTAAAAACAGGCTTCAATAATGGTGTTAATTGTTCTTTCAATTCGTATAATTCTTTCAATGATTCTTCTAATTTATTAACATCATTAAGCCTTTTCTCAGCAACGGATAATTCACAACTGGCATTTGGAATTTCCAGTTTATGTGCATCATTTTCAAGATCCATCAACTGCTTGTTTACATTATCCGCTATTTCGTCAAATTTATTCAGCATATCAAGTCGATCTTCTAAAATTCTTTCAACATTATCATATTGCTCATTTAGTGTTGAAATTTCATCAATTACTTTCTCACGTAATGAATCCGTATCTGGTATTGTTTCCAATTTATCATATGCATCTTGTAATACTGTCAAATGTGATCGACCATTTTTGAGATCATCAATTGCTTTCTTCAAATCGTTTGTTGTTGCATTAGTATCATTTTCAACTTTATACGCTTCATCTACCATATAGTGTAGCTCTTTCGTTTCGTTGTTAATTGTTGATTGTAATGTTACATAAGCAGCTTCATTCATCAATTGCTCTTCAGTTTCATTCAGAAGATGATTAACATTTTCATACTGATCAACTATAGATGATATTCTTAAATCGTTTGAATGTTGCACCAGTTTTATTGGTTTCCTTTCCTTTTCTTTCAATTCTTCCAATATATCACTTACTTTTGCAAGTTCATTTTTTAATTCTTCTAATCGTGCAGCATGTGTTTCATCATATGGTGCACTACGAACCATTATGGCACAATCATTTAATTTACTCAATTGGTTGATCAAATCGTTTTGCATATCAACAAGTTGCTTTTGTGTTGAAACATCTTCAATAAGCGATGATAATAAATTCTGAAATAATTTTTTTCTAACTAAAAATTTTTCAAGATCAATAAATGATAAATAATCATAAAATATAATATTAAATTTAAATTACGCAAATTGAAATAGAAAAAGAGAGAGAAAGAGAAAAAAAAAATTATATATAATTAAATACCTCAATATCTTTGGCAGTTTTTTCAATTCTTTGCTTCATTATATTGATTGCAGAATGATAGTTTGGTAAATTTTGCACTACATTCTCTTCAATATTGATCGTTTTCTTTAATAATTCCATGATCTGTTTTTGTAATCCTTCTAATATATTTATATCGTTTGTTGCTGTTGTATACGATTGTGGTTCTGTATAATTAATAAATAATCTTTCCATATTATCATTAATTTCTCGTATTTCATCTTCTAATTTATCGTAAGCAATTTTCCAATCAGCGAATGATTTCTGATGATTTGCAATAGATTCCCGTAAAATACGTAGCTTATCAATAAGAGACATTGCTTCATTCAACATCATATTGCCATCATAATCTTTTAACTTATCCAATGTTGAAATCATGAATTGCTCCAAATTTTCAATATTTTTCGCTTTTTCTTCAATATCTTCTAGATTATCAGCATTTTTTACATCATATGTTAGCAATTGATTAGCTAAACATATTTTTTCTTCTAATTCTGCAAGCTCAGATTGTACCATTTTCATTTCCTCTTTTTCTGCTAGCTTCTCATCCAATTTTCTCTGCAAAAATATAATATATTAATGATTCAAGAATGTTGAAAATGATGATGATATTATAAAATGTAAGAAAAAACGTTCATATTTTAATTTAAGGAAGCAAATTTACCTTGCATTTTTCAGCGAAATTTTGTGTATTTTCAAGTTCAGATTGAAGTGATGGAAGATTGATGCTCTCTTGATGCGATCGAGAAATAAGCTCATTCATTGGTGGTAAAATTTCACCAAATGTTTCATTTAACGCTGATTCAAATGCATTAATTTGTTCATCAATATCGGTTAATGCTTTTTTATTCTTTTTTGTTCTTCCTTTTTCCGATTCTTTCTCTTCCATTATTGCACTCAAGTTTGTCCGTATCACATTCATACGATTGAGTAATTCGGCTAGTTTCATTTCGATTTCTTTTTTAACTGCATCACGCTCAACTTTATCTGCTCGTAATTTTTGTACCTCTATAGCTAATATTTGCGTATTTTCATCTTCTACAGGAAGCTGCTGTAATTGTTCTTCAACTTTTATCAATTTCTCTTCATCATATGGTTCGGTACGCAGCTTTTCTAATTCCATCTTGATAATCATTTCTTTTTCTTGTTTTTCTATTTTTGACAGATTATCCAATCGTTCTTTTACAAGCACGTAAATATGATTCAGTTGTTCGGCTAATGTTTCAATTGATGGTTGAGATATACGAGCAACATGAATACGAATTCGTTTTGCTTCATCATCTTTTGCTTGTAAAAATTGCAGCTTAGCTTGTAATGAAGGTAATTGATGATTTAGCATCTGAAATAAAAAATGAAAATAATTCTTTTTTTTTTTTTTTTTAAATTAAAAAATATTATCAAATTTAAAATAATAAAATTAAAAATAGAAAATTTTTTGATCAAAATAACCTCCTCAAATTGTTCACGATTAATCGATTCCATTGAAAATTTGCCATTAAGATATTCTAATTCTTGAGCCAATTGTTGAGCAGATTCATTCAGAATATTTTCATCGTGTAATTCGCTATTTATCAAAGATATGAGATTTTCATATTGCTGTTGTGTTTGCTCAACATCTACATCATAAAAGCGAACATCTGCATATGCAGTTTCCAGTGGATGTAACTGTTCGGAAAGGCTTTGCAATTTTGACATCACACTACGTAAATCATTCAATTCATTAGCTGCTTTCTAAAATATCAGCTTATATAGTTCAAGAGAAGAAGAAAACTAATCAATTTCATAATAAAATAAGAGATGAAAATTTTCGAGTATACAAACCTTAAGTTTATCGAGATCATCAATTACTTCTTCACATGATCTAATATGCTTATTTCCAATCTCATCAAGTGGCTTTCGTTTTATTTCAAGCTGATCTGTTGCATTATCTCGTTCATCAACAAACTGTAACCATAGATTGGCATGATGTGACAAATTGGCTTGAAGTACTTTTGCATCCTTAACAGTTGCCTTTAAACGTATAGCCATTTCGTCATTTTCCAGCATTGTTTGAAGCAATTTTGTTGCCATTTCAAGAGGGCTCACAAATGCATCCATTGTAGTAGTATATATAGTTGGAATTGCTTCAGCATCATTTAGCACTTCTTCACCTTCTTTAATTAAAACGTTCAATTCATCATACAAATGATTGCCATCTTCATGCATTTTTTCTGCGATACGCAAATCACTGATTCGTTTCTCTACCATTTGTTGACCATCCTGTAATTGAATAAAAATAAATGAAATTTCAATAAAATAAATATAATTTTATTCATATCAACACAATTCAACATGAATATCATTAAATTTTTACCTTTAGATGATCCAAAGCTTTTTCGATTGTATGAAGAAGATTCTGCTTTTCGGTAATTTTGTCCACATCAAGATTTCTTTCATCAATATCATCGATTTTATTTTTAAACCTTTCCAAACTAATAAATTTATCCTAAATAAATAATAATAATACTTTACTATAAGTGATCAATACTAATAAAGCAATTCATTTATGAAAAAAGAAAGAAATATTTAAAGGCAAAATAAATATAAATAAAATAACAAACTTACATTTATATCACACAATTGATGCTCAAGTTCAGATAGAGTAATTTCATCAGAAATTAATATTGGCATTGATTGCAATGATGAGAGTTGTATTTCAATTTCATCTCTAATTGCATTGAATGATGCTAATGCTGCAAGCTTTTCTCCAACTGCATCAGCTAACCGTTTTAGAATATCATTCAGTTGTGCCAGTAATCTATTACCATCCTCACGTAACTTATTACCTTCATCATTCATCGGAATATTTTCTAGCAAAATTTCAAGTTGATGTTTCTTTCCTTCAAGCTCACTTAATGCATTATTTTGTTCTTCAACTGTTTGCAATGGTATTTGTTCCATTTCATTTATATAATGTTGCACATTTTCGTTGATCAAATTTATCTCCGCAGTTGTGGAATATAATTTGGCACGATCGGTTAATTTCTCTTTCTTATCATCAAGTGCATTTTGTAATTGTACAACACGATCATAAAGATCATCACTTATTAATGCACGTTTTACCATACCTTCCGAATTATGTAATTTTCCTTCTAGTTTTTCAACTTTTCCTTTCAATTTTCGCAAATTTTCAGTTAATTCACCAATGCTCATCAATTGTTGTGATGGCTCATTTATGCTATCAACTCCAATAACATCATCACCAATTGAAGTTATTGTCGATAGTATTTCATGAACATTTTGCATCAATTCTTGCTCCTTTTTCATATCTTTTTCCAGTGGAAGAAGTAAATTTTTAATCTTATTCTTTATAATATCTGCTTTCTTTAATAAATTCTCTCTGAGCCCACGTTCAATGATATTTTCCATTGCTGATGTTGGAATCTGATTCAGAAGTGAATGCAATTGATCGATATCTTCCATAGCAATTGATAAATCTTGTGAAGTGATATATTTGTTGAGAAAATCATCAGCTTTTTGTTCCATATCATCAAGCTGTCGTTGGATATCATCAAATAGATTCTCCTGCTCCTTTGCATGATTCAATTTATCATTCACACGTGTTGATAAATCATTATATCGATCTGTTAGTTTATCGACATCATGATAAAGCTCTTTAATATTTTCAGTTTTTACCGGTAGTATTAGATCTCTGATACGATCCGATTTTTCAACTACCATTGGTAAAATTATATCTCTGAAATTCTTCAATGAATTCATCGTTCCTTCAAGCTTTTCAAAATCATTTTCGGCATTAATAAGAGTTTGCTTGAAATCATTGATTAAACATGATAGATTATTTTCAGCTTCCAATTCTTGCTTCTTTCTCACAAGCTCATCGTACCATTGTTGGAAATTTTTGTTCACATCTGATAAACGATTACCGAAATCTTCAACTGTAAAAACAGGCTTCAATAATGGTGTTAATTGTTCTTTCAATTCGTATAATTCTTTCAATGATTCTTCTAATTTATTAACATCATTAAGCCTTTTCTCAGCAACGGATAATTCACAACTGGCATTTGGAATTTCCAGTTTATGTGCATCATTTTCAAGATCCATCAACTGCTTGTTTACATTATCCGCTATTTCGTCAAATTTATTCAGCATATCAAGTCGATCTTCTAAAATTCTTTCAACATTATCATATTGCTCATTTAGTGTTGAAATTTCATCAATTACTTTCTCACGTAATGAATCCGTATCTGGTATTGTTTCCAATTTATCATATGCATCTTGTAATACTGTCAAATGTGATCGACCATTTTTGAGATCATCAATTGCTTTCTTCAAATCGTTTGTTGTTGCATTAGTATCATTTTCAACTTTATACGCTTCATCTACCATATAGTGTAGCTCTTTCGTTTCGTTGTTAATTGTTGATTGTAATGTTACATAAGCAGCTTCATTCATCAATTGCTCTTCAGTTTCATTCAGAAGATGATTAACATTTTCATACTGATCAACTATAGATGATATTCTTAAATCGTTTGAATGTTGCACCAGTTTTATTGGTTTCCTTTCCTTTTCTTTCAATTCTTCCAATATATCACTTACTTTTGCAAGTTCATTTTTTAATTCTTCTAATCGTGCAGCATGTGTTTCATCATATGGTGCACTACGAACCATTATGGCACAATCATTTAATTTACTCAATTGGTTGATCAAATCGTTTTGCATATCAACAAGTTGCTTTTGTGTTGAAACATCTTCAATAAGCGATGATAATAAATTCTGAAATAATTTTTTTCTAACTAAAAATTTTTCAAGATCAATAAATGATAAATAATCATAAAATATAATATTAAATTTAAATTACGCAAATTGAAATAGAAAAAGAGAGAGAAAGAGAAAAAAAAAATTATATATAATTAAATACCTCAATATCTTTGGCAGTTTTTTCAATTCTTTGCTTCATTATATTGATTGCAGAATGATAGTTTGGTAAATTTTGCACTACATTCTCTTCAATATTGATCGTTTTCTTTAATAATTCCATGATCTGTTTTTGTAATCCTTCTAATATATTTATATCGTTTGTTGCTGTTGTATACGATTGTGGTTCTGTATAATTAATAAATAATCTTTCCATATTATCATTAATTTCTCGTATTTCATCTTCTAATTTATCGTAAGCAATTTTCCAATCAGCGAATGATTTCTGATGATTTGCAATAGATTCCCGTAAAATACGTAGCTTATCAATAAGAGACATTGCTTCATTCAACATATTGCCATCATAATCTTTTAACTTATCCAATGTTGAAATCATGAATTGCTCCAAATTTTCAATATTTTTCGCTTTTTCTTCAATATCTTCTAGATTATCAGCATTTTTTACATCATATGTTAGCAATTGATTAGCTAAACATATTTTTTCTTCTAATTCTGCAAGCTCAGATTGTACCATTTTCATTTCCTCTTTTTCTGCTAGCTTCTCATCCAATTTTCTCTGCAAAAATATAATATATTAATGATTCAAGAATGTTGAAAATGATGATGATATTATAAAATGTAAGAAAAAACGTTCATATTTTAATTTAAGGAAGCAAATTTACCTTGCATTTTTCAGCGAAATTTTGTGTATTTTCAAGTTCAGATTGAAGTGATGGAAGATTGATGCTCTCTTGATGCGATCGAGAAATAAGCTCATTCATTGGTGGTAAAATTTCACCAAATGTTTCATTTAACGCTGATTCAAATGCATTAATTTGTTCATCAATATCGGTTAATGCTTTTTTATTCTTTTTTGTTCTTCCTTTTTCCGATTCTTTCTCTTCCATTATTGCACTCAAGTTTGTCCGTATCACATTCATACGATTGAGTAATTCGGCTAGTTTCATTTCGATTTCTTTTTTAACTGCATCACGCTCAACTTTATCTGCTCGTAATTTTTGTACCTCTATAGCTAATATTTGCGTATTTTCATCTTCTACAGGAAGCTGCTGTAATTGTTCTTCAACTTTTATCAATTTCTCTTCATCATATGGTTCGGTACGCAGCTTTTCTAATTCCATCTTGATAATCATTTCTTTTCTTGTTTTTCTATTTTTGACAGATTATCCAATCGTTCTTTTACAAGCACGTAAATATGATTCAGTTGTTCGGCTAATGTTTCAATTGATGGTTGAGATATACGAGCAACATGAATACGAATTCGTTTTGCTTCATCATCTTTTGCTTGTAAAAATTGCAGCTTAGCTTGTAATGAAGGTAATTGATGATTTAGCATCTGAAATAAAAAATGAAAATAATTCTTTTTTTTTTTTTTTTAAATTAAAAAATATTATCAAATTTAAAATAATAAAATTAAAAATAGAAAATTTTTTGATCAAAATAACCTCCTCAAATTGTTCACGATTAATCGATTCCATTGAAAATTTGCCATTAAGATATTCTAATTCTTGAGCCAATTGTTGAGCAGATTCATTCAGAATATTTTCATCGTGTAATTCGCTATTTATCAAAGATATGAGATTTTCATATTGCTGTTGTGTTTGCTCAACATCTACATCATAAAAGCGAACATCTGCATATGCAGTTTCCAGTGGATGTAACTGTTCGGAAAGGCTTTGCAATTTTGACATCACACTACGTAAATCATTCAATTCATTAGCTGCTTTCTAAAATATCAGCTTATATAGTTCAAGAGAAGAAGAAAACTAATCAATTTCATAATAAAATAAGAGATGAAAATTTTCGAGTATACAAACCTTAAGTTTATCGAGATCATCAATTACTTCTTCACATGATCTAATATGCTTATTTCCAATCTCATCAAGTGGCTTTCGTTTTATTTCAAGCTGATCTGTTGCATTATCTCGTTCATCAACAAACTGTAACCATAGATTGGCATGATGTGACAAATTGGCTTGAAAGTACTTTTGCATCCTTAACAGTTGCCTTTAAACGTATAGCCATTTCGTCATTTTCCAGCATTGTTTGAAGCAATTTTGTTGCCATTTCAAGAGGGCTCACAAATGCATCCATTGTAGTAGTATATATAGTTGGAATTGCTTCAGCATCATTTAGCACTTCTTCACCTTCTTTAATTAAAGCGTTCAATTCATCATACAAATGATTGCCATCTTCATGCATTTTTCTGCGATACGCAAATCACTGATTCGTTTCTCTACCATTTGTTGACCATCCTGTAATTGAATAAAAATAAATGAAATTTCAATAAAATAAATATAATTTTATTCATATCAACACAATTCAACATGAATATCATTAAATTTTTACCTTTAGATGATCCAAAGCTTTTTCGATTGTATGAAGAAGATTCTGCTTTTCGGTAATTTTGTCCACATCAAGATTTCTTTCATCAATATCATCGATTTTATTTTTAAACCTTTCCAAACTAATAAATTTATCCTAAATAAATAATAATAATACTTTACTATAAGTGATCAATACTAATAAAGCAATTCATTTATGAAAAAAGAAAGAAATATTTAAAGGCAAAATAAATATAAATAAAATAACAAACTTACATTTATATCACACAATTGATGCTCAAGTTCAGATAGAGTAATTTCATCAGAAATTAATATTGGCATTGATTGCAATGATGAGAGTTGTATTCAATTTCATCTCTAATTGCATTGAATGATGCTAATGCTGCAAGCTTTTCTCCAACTGCATCAGCTAACCGTTTTAGAATATCATTCAGTTGTGCCAGTAATCTATTACCATCCTCACGTAACTTATTACCTTCATCATTCATCGGAATATTTTCTAGCAAAATTTCAAGTTGATGTTTCTTTCCTTCAAGCTCACTTAATGCATTATTTTGTTCTTCAACTGTTTGCAATGGTATTTGTTCCATTTCATTTATATAATGTTGCACATTTTCGTTGATCAAATTTATCTCCGCAGTTGTGGAATATAATTTGGCACGATCGGTTAATTTCTCTTTCTTATCATCAAGTGCATTTTGTAATTGTACAACACGATCATAAAGATCATCACTTATTAATGCACGTTTTACCATACCTTCCGAATTATGTAATTTTCCTTCTAGTTTTTCAACTTTTCCTTTCAATTTTCGCAAATTTTCAGTTAATTCACCAATGCTCATCAATTGTTGTGATGGCTCATTTATGCTATCAACTCCAATAACATCATCACCAATTGAAGTTATTGTCGATAGTATTTCATGAACATTTTGCATCAATTCTTGCTCCTTTTTCATATCTTTTTCCAGTGGAAGAAGTAAATTTTTAATCTTATTCTTTATAATATCTGCTTTCTTTAATAAATTCTCTCTGAGCCCACGTTCAATGATATTTTCCATTGCTGATGTTGGAATCTGATTCAGAAGTGAATGCAATTGATCGATATCTTCCATAGCAATTGATAAATCTTGTGAAGTGATATATTTGTTGAGAAAATCATCAGCTTTTTGTTCCATATCATCAAGCTGTCGTTGGATATCATCAAATAGATTCTCCTGCTCCTTTGCATGATTCAATTTATCATTCACACGTGTTGATAAATCATTATATCGATCTGTTAGTTTATCGACATCATGATAAAGCTCTTTAATATTTTCAGTTTTTACCGGTAGTATTAGATCTCTGATACGATCCGATTTTTCAACTACCATTGGTAAAATTATATCTCTGAAATTCTTCAATGAATTCATCGTTCCTTCAAGCTTTTCAAAATCATTTTCGGCATTAATAAGAGTTTGCTTGAAATCATTGATTAAACATGATAGATTATTTTCAGCTTCCAATTCTTGCTTCTTTCTCACAAGCTCATCGTACCATTGTTGGAAATTTTTGTTCACATCTGATAAACGATTACCGAAATCTTCAACTGTAAAAACAGGCTTCAATAATGGTGTTAATTGTTCTTTCAATTCGTATAATTCTTTCAATGATTCTTCTAATTTATTAACATCATTAAGCCTTTTCTCAGCAACGGATAATTCACAACTGGCATTTGGAATTTCCAGTTTATGTGCATCATTTTCAAGATCCATCAACTGCTTGTTTACATTATCCGCTATTTCGTCAAATTTATTCAGCATATCAAGTCGATCTTCTAAAATTCTTTCAACATTATCATATTGCTCATTTAGTGTTGAAATTTCATCAATTACTTTCTCACGTAATGAATCCGTATCTGGTATTGTTTCCAATTTATCATATGCATCTTGTAATACTGTCAAATGTGATCGACCATTTTTGAGATCATCAATTGCTTTCTTCAAATCGTTTGTTGTTGCATTAGTATCATTTTCAACTTTATACGCTTCATCTACCATATAGTGTAGCTCTTTCGTTTCGTTGTTAATTGTTGATTGTAATGTTACATAAGCAGCTTCATTCATCAATTGCTCTTCAGTTTCATTCAGAAGATGATTAACATTTTCATACTGATCAACTATAGATGATATTCTTAAATCGTTTGAATGTTGCACCAGTTTTATTGGTTTCCTTTCCTTTTCTTTCAATTCTTCCAATATATCACTTACTTTTGCAAGTTCATTTTTTAATTCTTCTAATCGTGCAGCATGTGTTTCATCATATGGTGCACTACGAACCATTATGGCACAATCATTTAATTTACTCAATTGGTTGATCAAATCGTTTTGCATATCAACAAGTTGCTTTTGTGTTGAAACATCTTCAATAAGCGATGATAATAAATTCTGAAATAATTTTTTTCTAACTAAAAATTTTTCAAGATCAATAAATGATAAATAATCATAAAATATAATATTAAATTTAAATTACGCAAATTGAAATAGAAAAAGAGAGAGAAAGAGAAAAAAAAAATTATATATAATTAAATACCTCAATATCTTTGGCAGTTTTTTCAATTCTTTGCTTCATTATATTGATTGCAGAATGATAGTTTGGTAAATTTTGCACTACATTCTCTTCAATATTGATCGTTTTCTTTAATAATTCCATGATCTGTTTCTGTAATCCTTCTAATATATTTATATCGTTTGTTGCTGTTGTATACGATTGTGGTTCTGTATAATTAATAAATAATCTTTCCATATTATCATTAATTTCTCGTATTTCATCTTCTAATTTATCGTAAGCAATTTTCCAATCAGCGAATGATTTCTGATGATTTGCAATAGATTCCCGTAAAATACGTAGCTTATCAATAAGAGACATTGCTTCATTCAACATCATATTGCCATCATAATCTTTTAACTTATCCAATGTTGAAATCATGAATTGCTCCAAATTTTCAATATTTTTCGCTTTTTCTTCAATATCTTCTAGATTATCAGCATTTTTTACATCATATGTTAGCAATTGATTAGCTAAACATATTTTTTCTTCTAATTCTGCAAGCTCAGATTGTACCATTTTCATTTCCTCTTTTTCTGCTAGCTTCTCATCCAATTTTCTCTGCAAAAATATAATATATTAATGATTCAAGAATGTTGAAAATGATGATGATATTATAAAATGTAAGAAAAAACGTTCATATTTTAATTTAAGGAAGCAAATTTACCTTGCATTTTTCAGCGAAATTTTGTGTATTTTCAAGTTCAGATTGAAGTGATGGAAGATTGATGCTCTCTTGATGCGATCGAGAAATAAGCTCATTCATTGGTGGTAAAATTTCACCAAATGTTTCATTTAACGCTGATTCAAATGCATTAATTTGTTCATCAATATCGGTTAATGCTTTTTTATTCTTTTTTGTTCTTCCTTTTTCCGATTCTTTCTCTTCCATTATTGCACTCAAGTTTGTCCGTATCACATTCATACGATTGAGTAATTCGGCTAGTTTCATTTCGATTTCTTTTTTAACTGCATCACGCTCAACTTTATCTGCTCGTAATTTTTGTACCTCTATAGCTAATATTTGCGTATTTTCATCTTCTACAGGAAGCTGCTGTAATTGTTCTTCAACTTTTATCAATTTCTCTTCATCATATGGTTCGGTACGCAGCTTTTCTAATTCCATCTTGATAATCATTTCTTTTTCTTGTTTTTCTATTTTTGACAGATTATCCAATCGTTCTTTTACAAGCACGTAAATATGATTCAGTTGTTCGGCTAATGTTTCAATTGATGGTTGAGATATACGAGCAACATGAATACGAATTCGTTTTGCTTCATCATCTTTTGCTTGTAAAAATTGCAGCTTAGCTTGTAATGAAGGTAATTGATGATTTAGCATCTGAAATAAAAAATGAAAATAATTCTTTTTTTTTTTTTTTTTAAATTAAAAAATATTATCAAATTTAAAATAATAAAATTAAAAATAGAAAATTTTTTGATCAAAATAACCTCCTCAAATTGTTCACGATTAATCGATTCCATTGAAAATTTGCCATTAAGATATTCTAATTCTTGAGCCAATTGTTGAGCAGATTCATTCAGAATATTTTCATCGTGTAATTCGCTATTTATCAAAGATATGAGATTTTCATATTGCTGTTGTGTTTGCTCAACATCTACATCATAAAAGCGAACATCTGCATATGCAGTTTCCAGTGGATGTAACTGTTCGGAAAGGCTTTGCAATTTTGACATCACACTACGTAAATCATTCAATTCATTAGCTGCTTTCTAAAATATCAGCTTATATAGTTCAAGAGAAGAAGAAAACTAATCAATTTCATAATAAAATAAGAGATGAAAATTTTCGAGTATACAAACCTTAAGTTTATCGAGATCATCAATTACTTCTTCACATGATCTAATATGCTTATTTCCAATCTCATCAAGTGGCTTTCGTTTTATTTCAAGCTGATCTGTTGCATTATCTCGTTCATCAACAAACTGTAACCATAGATTGGCATGATGTGACAAATTGGCTTGAAGTACTTTTGCATCCTTAACAGTTGCCTTTAAACGTATAGCCATTTCGTCATTTTCCAGCATTGTTTGAAGCAATTTTGTTGCCATTTCAAGAGGGCTCACAAATGCATCCATTGTAGTAGTATATATAGTTGGAATTGCTTCAGCATCATTTAGCACTTCTTCACCTTCTTTAATTAAAACGTTCAATTCATCATACAAATGATTGCCATCTTCATGCATTTTTTCTGCGATACGCAAATCACTGATTCGTTTCTCTACCATTTGTTGACCATCCTGTAATTGAATAAAAATAAATGAAATTTCAATAAAATAAATATAATTTTATTCATATCAACACAATTCAACATGAATATCATTAAATTTTTACCTTTAGATGATCCAAAGCTTTTTCGATTGTATGAAGAAGATTCTGCTTTTCGGTAATTTTGTCCACATCAAGATTTCTTTCATCAATATCATCGATTTTATTTTTAAACCTTTCCAAACTAATAAATTTATCCTAAATAAATAATAATAATACTTTACTATAAGTGATCAATACTAATAAAGCAATTCATTTATGAAAAAAGAAAGAAATATTTAAAGGCAAAATAAATATAAATAAAATAACAAACTTACATTTATATCACACAATTGATGCTCAAGTTCAGATAGAGTAATTTCATCAGAAATTAATATTGGCATTGATTGCAATGATGAGAGTTGTATTTCAATTTCATCTCTAATTGCATTGAATGATGCTAATGCTGCAAGCTTTTCTCCAACTGCATCAGCTAACCGTTTTAGAATATCATTCAGTTGTGCCAGTAATCTATTACCATCCTCACGTAACTTATTACCTTCATCATTCATCGGAATATTTTCTAGCAAAATTTCAAGTTGATGTTTCTTTCCTTCAAGCTCACTTAATGCATTATTTTGTTCTTCAACTGTTTGCAATGGTATTTGTTCCATTTCATTTATATAATGTTGCACATTTTCGTTGATCAAATTTATCTCCGCAGTTGTGGAATATAATTTGGCACGATCGGTTAATTTCTCTTTCTTATCATCAAGTGCATTTTGTAATTGTACAACACGATCATAAAGATCATCACTTATTAATGCACGTTTTACCATACCTTCCGAATTATGTAATTTTCCTTCTAGTTTTTCAACTTTTCCTTTCAATTTTCGCAAATTTTCAGTTAATTCACCAATGCTCATCAATTGTTGTGATGGCTCATTTATGCTATCAACTCCAATAACATCATCACCAATTGAAGTTATTGTCGATAGTATTTCATGAACATTTTGCATCAATTCTTGCTCCTTTTTCATATCTTTTTCCAGTGGAAGAAGTAAATTTTTAATCTTATTCTTTATAATATCTGCTTTCTTTAATAAATTCTCTCTGAGCCCACGTTCAATGATATTTTCCATTGCTGATGTTGGAATCTGATTCAGAAGTGAATGCAATTGATCGATATCTTCCATAGCAATTGATAAATCTTGTGAAGTGATATATTTGTTGAGAAAATCATCAGCTTTTTGTTCCATATCATCAAGCTGTCGTTGGATATCATCAAATAGATTCTCCTGCTCCTTTGCATGATTCAATTTATCATTCACACGTGTTGATAAATCATTATATCGATCTGTTAGTTTATCGACATCATGATAAAGCTCTTTAATATTTTCAGTTTTTACCGGTAGTATTAGATCTCTGATACGATCCGATTTTTCCAACTACCATTGGTAAAATTATATCTCTGAAATTCTTCAATGAATTCATCGTTCCTTCAAGCTTTTCAAAATCATTTTCGGCATTAATAAGAGTTTGCTTGAAATCATTGATTAAACATGATAGATTATTTTCAGCTTCCAATTCTTGCTTCTTTCTCACAAGCTCATCGTACCATTGTTGGAAATTTTTGTTCACATCTGATAAACGATTACCGAAATCTTCAACTGTAAAAACAGGCTTCAATAATGGTGTTAATTGTTCTTTCAATTCGTATAATTCTTTCAATGATTCTTCTAATTTATTAACATCATTAAGCCTTTCTCAGCAACGGATAATTCACAACTGGCATTTGGAATTTCCAGTTTATGTGCATCATTTTCAAGATCCATCAACTGCTTGTTTACATTATCCGCTATTTCGTCAAATTTATTCAGCATATCAAGTCGATCTTCTAAAATTCTTTCAACATTATCATATTGCTCATTTAGTGTTGAAATTTCATCAATTACTTTCTCACGTAATGAATCCGTATCTGGTATTGTTTCCAATTTATCATATGCATCTTGTAATACTGTCAAATGTGATCGACCATTTTTGAGATCATCAATTGCTTTCTTCAAATCGTTTGTTGTTGCATTAGTATCATTTTCAACTTTATACGCTTCATCTACCATATAGTGTAGCTCTTTCGTTTCGTTGTTAATTGTTGATTGTAATGTTACATAAGCAGCTTCATTCATCAATTGCTCTTCAGTTTCATTCAGAAGATGATTAACATTTTCATACTGATCAACTATAGATGATATTCTTAAATCGTTTGAATGTTGCACCAGTTTTATTGGTTTCCTTTCCTTTTCTTTCAATTCTTCCAATATATCACTTACTTTTGCAAGTTCATTTTTTAATTCTTCTAATCGTGCAGCATGTGTTTCATCATATGGTGCACTACGAACCATTATGGCACAATCATTTAATTTACTCAATTGGTTGATCAAATCGTTTTGCATATCAACAAGTTGCTTTTGTGTTGAAACATCTTCAATAAGCGATGATAATAAATTCTGAAATAATTTTTTTCTAACTAAAAATTTTTCAAGATCAATAAATGATAAATAATCATAAAATATAATATTAAATTTAAATTACGCAAATTGAAATAGAAAAAGAGAGAGAAAGAGAAAAAAAAAATTATATATAATTAAATACCTCAATATCTTTGGCAGTTTTTTCAATTCTTTGCTTCATTATATTGATTGCAGAATGATAGTTTGGTAAATTTTGCACTACATTCTCTTCAATATTGATCGTTTTCTTTAATAATTCCATGATCTGTTTCTGTAATCCTTCTAATATATTTATATCGTTTGTTGCTGTTGTATACGATTGTGGTTCTGTATAATTAATAAATAATCTTTCCATATTATCATTAATTTCTCGTATTTCATCTTCTAATTTATCGTAAGCAATTTTCCAATCAGCGAATGATTTCTGATGATTTGCAATAGATTCCCGTAAAATACGTAGCTTATCAATAAGAGACATTGCTTCATTCAACATCATATTGCCATCATAATCTTTTAACTTATCCAATGTTGAAATCATGAATTGCTCCAAATTTTCAATATTTTTCGCTTTTTCTTCAATATCTTCTAGATTATCAGCATTTTTTACATCATATGTTAGCAATTGATTAGCTAAACATATTTTTTCTTCTAATTCTGCAAGCTCAGATTGTACCATTTTCATTTCCTCTTTTTCTGCTAGCTTCTCATCCAATTTTCTCTGCAAAAATATAATATATTAATGATTCAAGAATGTTGAAAATGATGATGATATTATAAAATGTAAGAAAAAACGTTCATATTTTAATTTAAGGAAGCAAATTTACCTTGCATTTTTCAGCGAAATTTTGTGTATTTTCAAGTTCAGATTGAAGTGATGGAAGATTGATGCTCTCTTGATGCGATCGAGAAATAAGCTCATTCATTGGTGGTAAAATTTCACCAAATGTTTCATTTAACGCTGATTCAAATGCATTAATTTGTTCATCAATATCGGTTAATGCTTTTTTATTCTTTTTTGTTCTTCCTTTTTCCGATTCTTTCTCTTCCATTATTGCACTCAAGTTTGTCCGTATCACATTCATACGATTGAGTAATTCGGCTAGTTTCATTTCGATTTCTTTTTTAACTGCATCACGCTCAACTTTATCTGCTCGTAATTTTTGTACCTCTATAGCTAATATTTGCGTATTTTCATCTTCTACAGGAAGCTGCTGTAATTGTTCTTCAACTTTTATCAATTTCTCTTCATCATATGGTTCGGTACGTAGCTTTTCTAATTCCATCTTGATAATCATTTCTTTTTCTTGTTTTTCTATTTTTGACAGATTATCCAATCGTTCTTTTACAAGCACGTAAATATGATTCAGTTGTTCGGCTAATGTTTCAATTGATGGTTGAGATATACGAGCAACATGAATACGAATTCGTTTTGCTTCATCATCTTTTGCTTGTAAAAATTGCAGCTTAGCTTGTAATGAAGGTAATTGATGATTTAGCATCTGAAATAAAAAATGAAAATAATTCTTTTTTTTTTTTTTTTAAATTAAAAAATATTATCAAATTTAAAATAATAAAATTAAAAATAGAAAATTTTTTGATCAAAATAACCTCCTCAAATTGTTCACGATTAACCGATTCCATTGAAAATTTGCCATTAAGATATTCTAATTCTTGAGCCAATTGTTGAGCAGATTCATTCAGAATATTTTCATCGTGTAATTCGCTATTTATCAAAGATATGAGATTTTCATATTGCTGTTGTGTTTGCTCAACATCTACATCATAAAAGCGAACATCTGCATATGCAGTTTCCAGTGGATGTAACTGTTCGGAAAGGCTTTGCAATTTTGACATCACACTACGTAAATCATTCAATTCATTAGCTGCTTTCTAAAATATCAGCTTATATAGTTCAAGAGAAGAAGAAAACTAATCAATTTCATAATAAAATAAGAGATGAAAATTTTCGAGTATACAAACCTTAAGTTTATCGAGATCATCAATTACTTCTTCACATGATCTAATATGCTTATTTCCAATCTCATCAAGTGGCTTTCGTTTTATTTCAAGCTGATCTGTTGCATTATCTCGTTCATCAACAAACTGTAACCATAGATTGGCATGATGTGACAAATTGGCTTGAAGTACTTTTGCATCCTTAACAGTTGCCTTTAAACGTATAGCCATTTCGTCATTTTCCAGCATTGTTTGAAGCAATTTTGTTGCCATTTCAAGAGGGCTCACAAATGCATCCATTGTAGTAGTATATATAGTTGGAATTGCTTCAGCATCATTTAGCACTTCTTCACCTTCTTTAATTAAAGCGTTCAATTCATCATACAAATGATTGCCATCTTCATGCATTTTTTCTGCGATACGCAAATCACTGATTCGTTTCTCTACCATTTGTTGACCATCCTGTAATTGAATAAAAATAAATGAAATTTCAATAAAATAAATATAATTTTATTCATATCAACACAATTCAACATGAATATCATTAAATTTTTACCTTTAGATGATCCAAAGCTTTTTCGATTGTATGAAGAAGATTCTGCTTTTCGGTAATTTTGTCCACATCAAGATTTCTTTCATCAATATCATCGATTTTATTTTTAAACCTTTCCAAACTAATAAATTTATCCTAAATAAATAATAATAATACTTTACTATAAGTGATCAATACTAATAAAGCAATTCATTTATGAAAAAAGAAAGAAATATTTAAAGGCAAAATAAATATAAATAAAATAACAAACTTACATTTATATCACACAATTGATGCTCAAGTTCAGATAGAGTAATTTCATCAGAAATAAATATTGGCATTGATTGCAATGATGAGAGTTGTATTTCAATTTCATCTCTAATTGCATTGAATGATGCTAATGCTGCAAGCTTTTCTCCAACTGCATCAGCTAACCGTTTTAGAATATCATTCAGTTGTGCCAGTAATCTATTACCATCCTCACGTAACTTATTACCTTCATCATTCATCGGAATATTTTCTAGCAAAATTTCAAGTTGATGTTTCTTTCCTTCAAGCTCACTTAATGCATTATTTTGTTCTTCAACTGTTTGCAATGGTATTTGTTCCATTTCATTTATATAATGTTGCACATTTTCGTTGATCAAATTTATCTCCGCAGTTGTGGAATATAATTTGGCACGATCGGTTAATTTCTCTTTCTTATCATCAAGTGCATTTTGTAATTGTACAACACGATCATAAAGATCATCACTTATTAATGCACGTTTTACCATACCTTCCGAATTATGTAATTTTCCTTCTAGTTTTTCAACTTTTCCTTTCAATTTTCGCAAATTTTCAGTTAATTCACCAATGCTCATCAATTGTTGTGATGGCTCATTTATGCTATCAACTCCAATAACATCATCACCAATTGAAGTTATTGTCGATAGTATTTCATGAACATTTTGCATCAATTCTTGCTCCTTTTTCATATCTTTTTCCAGTGGAACAAGTAAATTTTTAATCTTATTCTTTATAATATCTGCTTTCTTTAATAAATTCTCTTTGAGCCCACGTTCAATGATATTTTCCATTGCTGATGTTGGAATCTGATTCAGAAGTGAATGCAATTGATCGATATCTTCCATAGCAATTGATAAATCTTGTGAAGTGATATATTTGTTGAGAAAATCATCAGCTTTTTGTTCCATATCATCAAGCTGTCGTTGGATATCATCAAATAGATTCTCCTGCTCCTTTGCATGATTCATTTTATCATTCACACGTGTTGATAAATCATTATATCGATCTGTTAGTTTATCGACATCATGATAAAGCTCTTTAATATTTTCAGTTTTTACCGGTAGTATTAGATCTCTGATACGATCCGATTTTTCAACTACCATTGGTAAAATTATATCTCTGAAATTCTTCAATGAATTCATCGTTCCTTCAAGCTTTTCAAAATCATTTTCGGCATTAATAAGAGTTTGCTTGAAATCATTGATTAAACATGATAGATTATTTTCAGCTTCCAATTCTTGCTTCTTTCTCACAAGCTCATCGTACCATTGTTGGAAATTTTTGTTCACATCTGATAAACGATTACCGAAATCTTCAACTGTAAAAACAGGCTTCAATAATGGTGTTAATTGTTCTTTCAATTCGTATAATTCTTTCAATGATTCTTCTAATTTATTAACATCATTAAGCCTTTTCTCAGCAACGGATAATTCACAACTGGCATTTGGAATTTCCAGTTTATGTGCATCATTTTCAAGATCCATCAACTGCTTGTTTACATTATCCGCTATTTCGTCAAATTTATTCAGCATATCAAGTCGATCTTCTAAAATTCTTTCAACATTATCATATTGCTCATTTAGTGTTGAAATTTCATCAATTACTTTCTCACGTAATGAATCCGTATCTGGTATTGTTTCCAATTTATCATATGCATCTTGTAATACTGTCAAATGTGATCGACCATTTTTGAGATCATCAATTGCTTTCTTCAAATCGTTTGTTGTTGCATTAGTATCATTTTCAACTTTATACGCTTCATCTACCATATAGTGTAGCTCTTTCGTTTCGTTGTTAATTGTTGATTGTAATGTTACATAAGCAGCTTCATTCATCAATTGCTCTTCAGTTTCATTCAGAAGATGATTAACATTTTCATACTGATCAACTATAGATGATATTCTTAAATCGTTTGAATGTTGCACCAGTTTTATTGGTTTCCTTTCCTTTTCTTTCAATTCTTCCAATATATCACTTACTTTTGCAAGTTCATTTTTTAATTCTTCTAATCGTGCAGCATGTGTTTCATCATATGGTGCACTACGAACCATTATGGCACAATCATTTAATTTACTCAATTGGTTGATCAAATCGTTTTGCATATCAACAAGTTGCTTTTGTGTTGAAACATCTTCAATAAGCGATGATAATAAATTCTGAAATAATTTTTTTCTAACTAAAAATTTTTCAAGATCAATAAATGATAAATAATCATAAAATATAATATTAAATTTAAATTACGCAAATTGAAATAGAAAAAGAGAGAGAAAGAGAAAAAAAAAAATTATATATAATTAAATACCTCAATATCTTTGGTAGTTTTTTCAATTCTTTGCTTCATTATATTGATTGCAGAATGATAGTTTGGTAAATTTTGCACTACATTCTCTTCAATATTGATCGTTTTCTTTAATAATTCCATGATCTGTTTCTGTAATCCTTCTAATATATTTATATCGTTTGTTGCTGTTGTATACGATTGTGGTTCTGTATAATTAATAAATAATCTTTCCATATTATCATTAATTTCTCGTATTTCATCTTCTAATTTATCGTAAGCAATTTTCCAATCAGCGAATGATTTCTGATGATTTGCAATAGATTCCCGTAAAATACGTAGCTTATCAATAAGAGACATTGCTTCATTCAACATCATATTGCCATCATAATCTTTTAACTTATCCAATGTTGAAATCATGAATTGCTCCAAATTTTCAATATTTTTCGCTTTTTCTTCAATATCTTCTAGATTATCAGCATTTTTTACATCATATGTTAGCAATTGATTAGCTAAACATATTTTTTCTTCTAATTCTGCAAGCTCAGATTGTACCATTTTCATTTCCTCTTTTTCTGCTAGCTTCTCATCCAATTTTCTCTGCAAAAATATAATATATTAATGATTCAAGAATGTTGAAAATGATGATGATATTATAAAATGTAAGAAAAAACGTTCATATTTTAATTTAAGGAAGCAAATTTACCTTGCATTTTTCAGCGAAATTTTGTGTATTTTCAAGTTCAGATTGAAGTGATGGAAGATTGATGCTCTCTTGATGCGATCGAGAAATAAGCTCATTCATTGGTGGTAAAATTTCACCAAATGTTTCATTTAACGCTGATTCAAATGCATTAATTTGTTCATCAATATCGGTTAATGCTTTTTTATTCTTTTTTGTTCTTCCTTTTTCCGATTCTTTCTCTTCCATTATTGCACTCAAGTTTGTCCGTATCACATTCATACGATTGAGTAATTCGGCTAGTTTCATTTCGATTTCTTTTTTAACTGCATCACGCTCAACTTTATCTGCTCGTAATTTTTGTACCTCTATAGCTAATATTTGCGTATTTTCATCTTCTACAGGAAGCTGCTGTAATTGTTCTTCAACTTTTATCAATTTCTCTTCATCATATGGTTCGGTACGTAGCTTTTCTAATTCCATCTTGATAATCATTTCTTTTTCTTGTTTTTCTATTTTTGACAGATTATCCAATCGTTCTTTTACAAGCACGTAAATATGATTCAGTTGTTCGGCTAATGTTTCAATTGATGGTTGAGATATACGAGCAACATGAATACGAATTCGTTTTGCTTCATCATCTTTTGCTTGTAAAAATTGCAGCTTAGCTTGTAATGAAGGTAATTGATGATTTAGCATCTGAAATAAAAAATGAAAATAATTCTTTTTTTTTTTTTTTAAATTAAAAAATATTATCAAATTTAAAATAATAAAATTAAAAATAGAAAATTTTTTGATCAAAATAACCTCCTCAAATTGTTCACGATTAACCGATTCCATTGAAAATTTGCCATTAAGATATTCTAATTCTTGAGCCAATTGTTGAGCAGATTCATTCAGAATATTTTCATCGTGTAATTCGCTATTTATCAAAGATATGAGATTTTCATATTGCTGTTGTGTTTGCTCAACATCTACATCATAAAAGCGAACATCTGCATATGCAGTTTCCAGTGGATGTAACTGTTCGGAAAGGCTTTGCAATTTTGACATCACACTACGTAAATCATTCAATTCATTAGCTGCTTTCTAAAATATCAGCTTATATAGTTCAAGAGAAGAAGAAAACTAATCAATTTCATAATAAAATAAGAGATGAAAATTTTCGAGTATACAAACCTTAAGTTTATCGAGATCATCAATTACTTCTTCACATGATCTAATATGCTTATTTCCAATCTCATCAAGTGGCTTTCGTTTTATTTCAAGCTGATCTGTTGCATTATCTCGTTCATCAACAAACTGTAACCATAGATTGGCATGATGTGACAAATTGGCTTGAAGTACTTTTGCATCCTTAACAGTTGCCTTTAAACGTATAGCCATTTCGTCATTTTCCAGCATTGTTTGAAGCAATTTTGTTGCCATTTCAAGAGGGCTCACAAATGCATCCATTGTAGTAGTATATATAGTTGGAATTGCTTCAGCATCATTTAGCACTTCTTCACCTTCTTTAATTAAAGCGTTCAATTCATCATACAAATGATTGCCATCTTCATGCATTTTTTCTGCGATACGCAAATCACTGATTCGTTTCTCTACCATTTGTTGACCATCCTGTAATTGAATAAAAATAAATGAAATTTCAATAAAATAAATATAATTTTATTCATATCAACACAATTCAACATGAATATCATTAAATTTTTACCTTTAGATGATCCAAAGCTTTTTCGATTGTATGAAGAAGATTCTGCTTTTCGGTAATTTTGTCCACATCAAGATTTCTTTCATCAATATCATCGATTTTATTTTTAAACCTTTCCAAACTAATAAATTTATCCTAAATAAATAATAATAATACTTTACTATAAGTGATCAATACTAATAAAGCAATTCATTTATGAAAAAAGAAAGAAATATTTAAAGGCAAAATAAATATAAATAAAATAACAAACTTACATTTATATCACACAATTGATGCTCAAGTTCAGATAGAGTAATTTCATCAGAAATAAATATTGGCATTGATTGCAATGATGAGAGTTGTATTTCAATTTCATCTCTAATTGCATTGAATGATGCTAATGCTGCAAGCTTTTCTCCAACTGCATCAGCTAACCGTTTTAGAATATCATTCAGTTGTGCCAGTAATCTATTACCATCCTCACGTAACTTATTACCTTCATCATTCATCGGAATATTTTCTAGCAAAATTTCAAGTTGATGTTTCTTTCCTTCAAGCTCACTTAATGCATTATTTTGTTCTTCAACTGTTTGCAATGGTATTTGTTCCATTTCATTTATATAATGTTGCACATTTTCGTTGATCAAATTTATCTCCGCAGTTGTGGAATATAATTTGGCACGATCGGTTAATTTCTCTTTCTTATCATCAAGTGCATTTTGTAATTGTACAACACGATCATAAAGATCATCACTTATTAATGCACGTTTTACCATACCTTCCGAATTATGTAATTTTCCTTCTAGTTTTTCAACTTTTCCTTTCAATTTTCGCAAATTTTCAGTTAATTCACCAATGCTCATCAATTGTTGTGATGGCTCATTTATGCTATCAACTCCAATAACATCATCACCAATTGAAGTTATTGTCGATAGTATTTCATGAACATTTTGCATCAATTCTTGCTCCTTTTTCATATCTTTTTCCAGTGGAAGAAGTAAATTTTTAATCTTATTCTTTATAATATCTGCTTTCTTTAATAAATTCTCTCTGAGCCCACGTTCAATGATATTTTCCATTGCTGATGTTGGAATCTGATTCAGAAGTGAATGCAATTGATCGATATCTTCCATAGCAATTGATAAATCTTGTGAAGTGATATATTTGTTGAGAAAATCATCAGCTTTTTGTTCCATATCATCAAGCTGTCGTTGGATATCATCAAATAGATTCTCCTGCTCCTTTGCATGATTCAATTTATCATTCACACGTGTTGATAAATCATTATATCGATCTGTTAGTTTATCGACATCATGATAAAGCTCTTTAATATTTTCAGTTTTTACCGGTAGTATTAGATCTCTGATACGATCCGATTTTTCAACTACCATTGGTAAAATTATATCTCTGAAATTCTTCAATGAATTCATCGTTCCTTCAAGCTTTTCAAAATCATTTTCGGCATTAATAAGAGTTTGCTTGAAATCATTGATTAAACATGATAGATTATTTTCAGCTTCCAATTCTTGCTTCTTTCTCACAAGCTCATCGTACCATTGTTGGAAATTTTTGTTCACATCTGATAAACGATTACCGAAATCTTCAACTGTAAAAACAGGCTTCAATAATGGTGTTAATTGTTCTTTCAATTCGTATAATTCTTTCAATGATTCTTCTAATTTATTAACATCATTAAGCCTTTTCTCAGCAACGGATAATTCACAACTGGCATTTGGAATTTCCAGTTTATGTGCATCATTTTCAAGATCCATCAACTGCTTGTTTACATTATCCGCTATTTCGTCAAATTTATTCAGCATATCAAGTCGATCTTCTAAAATTCTTTCAACATTATCATATTGCTCATTTAGTGTTGAAATTTCATCAATTACTTTCTCACGTAATGAATCCGTATCTGGTATTGTTTCCAATTTATCATATGCATCTTGTAATACTGTCAAATGTGATCGACCATTTTTGAGATCATCAATTGCTTTCTTCAAATCGTTTGTTGTTGCATTAGTATCATTTTCAACTTTATACGCTTCATCTACCATATAGTGTAGCTCTTTCGTTTCGTTGTTAATTGTTGATTGTAATGTTACATAAGCAGCTTCATTCATCAATTGCTCTTCAGTTTCATTCAGAAGATGATTAACATTTTCATACTGATCAACTATAGATGATATTCTTAAATCGTTTGAATGTTGCACCAGTTTTATTGGTTTCCTTTCCTTTTCTTTCAATTCTTCCAATATATCACTTACTTTTGCAAGTTCATTTTTTAATTCTTCTAATCGTGCAGCATGTGTTTCATCATATGGTGCACTACGAACCATTATGGCACAATCATTTAATTTACTCAATTGGTTGATCAAATCGTTTTGCATATCAACAAGTTGCTTTTGTGTTGAAACATCTTCAATAAGCGATGATAATAAATTCTGAAATAATTTTTTTCTAACTAAAAATTTTTCAAGATCAATAAATGATAAATAATCATAAAATATAATATTAAATTTAAATTACGCAAATTGAAATAGAAAAAGAGAGAGAAAGAGAAAAAAAAAATTATATATAATTAAATACCTCAATATCTTTGGCAGTTTTTTCAATTCTTTGCTTCATTATATTGATTGCAGAATGATAGTTTGGTAAATTTTGCACTACATTCTCTTCAATATTGATCGTTTTCTTTAATAATTCCATGATCTGTTTCTGTAATCCTTCTAATATATTTATATCGTTTGTTGCTGTTGTATACGATTGTGGTTCTGTATAATTAATAAATAATCTTTCCATATTATCATTAATTTCTCGTATTTCATCTTCTAATTTATCGTAAGCAATTTTCCAATCAGCGAATGATTTCTGATGATTTGCAATAGATTCCCGTAAAATACGTAGCTTATCAATAAGAGACATTGCTTCATTCAACATCATATTGCCATCATAATCTTTTAACTTATCCAATGTTGAAATCATGAATTGCTCCAAATTTTCAATATTTTTCGCTTTTTCTTCAATATCTTCTAGATTATCAGCATTTTTTACATCATATGTTAGCAATTGATTAGCTAAACATATTTTTTCTTCTAATTCTGCAAGCTCAGATTGTACCATTTTCATTTCCTCTTTTTCTGCTAGCTTCTCATCCAATTTTCTCTGCAAAAATATAATATATTAATGATTCAAGAATGTTGAAAATGATGATGATATTATAAAATGTAAGAAAAAACGTTCATATTTTAATTTAAGGAAGCAAATTTACCTTGCATTTTTCAGCGAAATTTTGTGTATTTTCAAGTTCAGATTGAAGTGATGGAAGATTGATGCTCTCTTGATGCGATCGAGAAATAAGCTCATTCATTGGTGGTAAAATTTCACCAAATGTTTCATTTAACGCTGATTCAAATGCATTAATTTGTTCATCAATATCGGTTAATGCTTTTTTATTCTTTTTTGTTCTTCCTTTTTCCGATTCTTTCTCTTCCATTATTGCACTCAAGTTTGTCCGTATCACATTCATACGATTGAGTAATTCGGCTAGTTTCATTTCGATTTCTTTTTTAACTGCATCACGCTCAACTTTATCTGCTCGTAATTTTTGTACCTCTATAGCTAATATTTGCGTATTTTCATCTTCTACAGGAAGCTGCTGTAATTGTTCTTCAACTTTTATCAATTTCTCTTCATCATATGGTTCGGTACGCAGCTTTTCTAATTCCATCTTGATAATCATTTCTTTTTCTTGTTTTTCTATTTTTGACAGATTATCCAATCGTTCTTTTACAAGCACGTAAATATGATTCAGTTGTTCGGCTAATGTTTCAATTGATGGTTGAGATATACGAGCAACATGAATACGAATTCGTTTTGCTTCATCATCTTTTGCTTGTAAAAATTGCAGCTTAGCTTGTAATGAAGGTAATTGATGATTTAGCATCTGAAATAAAAAATGAAAATAATTCTTTTTTTTTTTTTAAATTAAAAAATATTATCAAATTTAAAATAATAAAATTAAAAATAGAAAATTTTTTGATCAAAATAACCTCCTCAAATTGTTCACGATTAATCGATTCCATTGAAAATTTGCCATTAAGATATTCTAATTCTTGAGCCAATTGTTGAGCAGATTCATTCAGAATATTTTCATCGTGTAATTCGCTATTTATCAAAGATATGAGATTTTCATATTGCTGTTGTGTTTGCTCAACATCTACATCATAAAAGCGAACATCTGCATATGCAGTTTCCAGTGGATGTAACTGTTCGGAAAGGCTTTGCAATTTTGACATCACACTACGTAAATCATTCAATTCATTAGCTGCTTTCTAAAATATCAGCTTATATAGTTCAAGAGAAGAAGAAAACTAATCAATTTCATAATAAAATAAGAGATGAAAATTTTCGAGTATACAAACCTTAAGTTTATCGAGATCATCAATTACTTCTTCACATGATCTAATATGCTTATTTCCAATCTCATCAAGTGGCTTTCGTTTTATTTCAAGCTGATCTGTTGCATTATCTCGTTCATCAACAAACTGTAACCATAGATTGGCATGATGTGACAAATTGGCTTGAAGTACTTTTGCATCCTTAACAGTTGCCTTTAAACGTATAGCCATTTCGTCATTTTCCAGCATTGTTTGAAGCAATTTTGTTGCCATTTCAAGAGGGCTCACAAATGCATCCATTGTAGTAGTATATATAGTTGGAATTGCTTCAGCATCATTTAGCACTTCTTCACCTTCTTTAATTAAAGCGTTCAATTCATCATACAAATGATTGCCATCTTCATGCATTTTTTCTGCGATACGCAAATCACTGATTCGTTTCTCTACCATTTGTTGACCATCCTGTAATTGAATAAAAATAAATGAAATTTCAATAAAATAAATATAATTTTATTCATATCAACACAATTCAACATGAATATCATTAAATTTTTACCTTTAGATGATCCAAAGCTTTTTCGATTGTATGAAGAAGATTCTGCTTTTCGGTAATTTTGTCCACATCAAGATTTCTTTCATCAATATCATCGATTTTATTTTTAAACCTTTCCAAACTAATAAATTTATCCTAAATAAATAATAATAATACTTTACTATAAGTGATCAATACTAATAAAGCAATTCATTTATGAAAAAAGAAAGAAATATTTAAAGGCAAAATAAATATAAATAAAATAACAAACTTACATTTATATCACACAATTGATGCTCAAGTTCAGATAGAGTAATTTCATCAGAAATTAATATTGGCATTGATTGCAATGATGAGAGTTGTATTTCAATTTCATCTCTAATTGCATTGAATGATGCTAATGCTGCAAGCTTTTCTCCAACTGCATCAGCTAACCGTTTTAGAATATCATTCAGTTGTGCCAGTAATCTATTACCATCCTCACGTAACTTATTACCTTCATCATTCATCGGAATATTTTCTAGCAAAATTTCAAGTTGATGTTTCTTTCCTTCAAGCTCACTTAATGCATTATTTTGTTCTTCAACTGTTTGCAATGGTATTTGTTCCATTTCATTTATATAATGTTGCACATTTTCGTTGATCAAATTTATCTCCGCAGTTGTGGAATATAATTTGGCACGATCGGTTAATTTCTCTTTCTTATCATCAAGTGCATTTTGTAATTGTACAACACGATCATAAAGATCATCACTTATTAATGCACGTTTTACCATACCTTCCGAATTATGTAATTTTCCTTCTAGTTTTTCAACTTTTCCTTTCAATTTTCGCAAATTTTCAGTTAATTCACCAATGCTCATCAATTGTTGTGATGGCTCATTTATGCTATCAACTCCAATAACATCATCACCAATTGAAGTTATTGTCGATAGTATTTCATGAACATTTTGCATCAATTCTTGCTCCTTTTTCATATCTTTTTCCAGTGGAAGAAGTAAATTTTTAATCTTATTCTTTATAATATCTGCTTTCTTTAATAAATTCTCTCTGAGCCCACGTTCAATGATATTTTCCATTGCTGATGTTGGAATCTGATTCAGAAGTGAATGCAATTGATCGATATCTTCCATAGCAATTGATAAATCTTGTGAAGTGATATATTTGTTGAGAAAATCATCAGCTTTTTGTTCCATATCATCAAGCTGTCGTTGGATATCATCAAATAGATTCTCCTGCTCCTTTGCATGATTCAATTTATCATTCACACGTGTTGATAAATCATTATATCGATCTGTTAGTTTATCGACATCATGATAAAGCTCTTTAATATTTTCAGTTTTTACCGGTAGTATTAGATCTCTGATACGATCCGATTTTTCAACTACCATTGGTAAAATTATATCTCTGAAATTCTTCAATGAATTCATCGTTCCTTCAAGCTTTTCAAAATCATTTTCGGCATTAATAAGAGTTTGCTTGAAATCATTGATTAAACATGATAGATTATTTTCAGCTTCCAATTCTTGCTTCTTTCTCACAAGCTCATCGTACCATTGTTGGAAATTTTTGTTCACATCTGATAAACGATTACCGAAATCTTCAACTGTAAAAACAGGCTTCAATAATGGTGTTAATTGTTCTTTCAATTCGTATAATTCTTTCAATGATTCTTCTAATTTATTAACATCATTAAGCCTTTTCTCAGCAACGGATAATTCACAACTGGCATTTGGAATTTCCAGTTTATGTGCATCATTTTCAAGATCCATCAACTGCTTGTTTACATTATCCGCTATTTCGTCAAATTTATTCAGCATATCAAGTCGATCTTCTAAAATTCTTTCAACATTATCATATTGCTCATTTAGTGTTGAAATTTCATCAATTACTTTCTCACGTAATGAATCCGTATCTGGTATTGTTTCCAATTTATCATATGCATCTTGTAATACTGTCAAATGTGATCGACCATTTTTGAGATCATCAATTGCTTTCTTCAAATCGTTTGTTGTTGCATTAGTATCATTTTCAACTTTATACGCTTCATCTACCATATAGTGTAGCTCTTTCGTTTCGTTGTTAATTGTTGATTGTAATGTTACATAAGCAGCTTCATTCATCAATTGCTCTTCAGTTTCATTCAGAAGATGATTAACATTTTCATACTGATCAACTATAGATGATATTCTTAAATCGTTTGAATGTTGCACCAGTTTTATTGGTTTCCTTTCCTTTTCTTTCAATTCTTCCAATATATCACTTACTTTTGCAAGTTCATTTTTTAATTCTTCTAATCGTGCAGCATGTGTTTCATCATATGGTGCACTACGAACCATTATGGCACAATCATTTAATTTACTCAATTGGTTGATCAAATCGTTTTGCATATCAACAAGTTGCTTTTGTGTTGAAACATCTTCAATAAGCGATGATAATAAATTCTGAAATAATTTTTTTCTAACTAAAAATTTTTCAAGATCAATAAATGATAAATAATCATAAAATATAATATTAAATTTAAATTACGCAAATTGAAATAGAAAAAGAGAGAGAAAGAGAAAAAAAAAATTATATATAATTAAATACCTCAATATCTTTGGCAGTTTTTTCAATTCTTTGCTTCATTATATTGATTGCAGAATGATAGTTTGGTAAATTTTGCACTACATTCTCTTCAATATTGATCGTTTTCTTTAATAATTCCATGATCTGTTTCTGTAATCCTTCTAATATATTTATATCGTTTGTTGCTGTTGTATACGATTGTGGTTCTGTATAATTAATAAATAATCTTTCCATATTATCATTAATTTCTCGTATTTCATCTTCTAATTTATCGTAAGCAATTTTCCAATCAGCGAATGATTTCTGATGATTTGCAATAGATTCCCGTAAAATACGTAGCTTATCAATAAGAGACATTGCTTCATTCAACATCATATTGCCATCATAATCTTTTAACTTATCCAATGTTGAAATCATGAATTGCTCCAAATTTTCAATATTTTTCGCTTTTTCTTCAATATCTTCTAGATTATCAGCATTTTTTACATCATATGTTAGCAATTGATTAGCTAAACATATTTTTTCTTCTAATTCTGCAAGCTCAGATTGTACCATTTTCATTTCCTCTTTTTCTGCTAGCTTCTCATCCAATTTTCTCTGCAAAAATATAATATATTAATGATTCAAGAATGTTGAAAATGATGATGATATTATAAAATGTAAGAAAAAACGTTCATATTTTAATTTAAGGAAGCAAATTTACCTTGCATTTTTCAGCGAAATTTTGTGTATTTTCAAGTTCAGATTGAAGTGATGGAAGATTGATGCTCTCTTGATGCGATCGAGAAATAAGCTCATTCATTGGTGGTAAAATTTCACCAAATGTTTCATTTAACGCTGATTCAAATGCATTAATTTGTTCATCAATATCGGTTAATGCTTTTTTATTCTTTTTTGTTCTTCCTTTTTCCGATTCTTTCTCTTCCATTATTGCACTCAAGTTTGTCCGTATCACATTCATACGATTGAGTAATTCGGCTAGTTTCATTTCGATTTCTTTTTTAACTGCATCACGCTCAACTTTATCTGCTCGTAATTTTTGTACCTCTATAGCTAATATTTGCGTATTTTCATCTTCTACAGGAAGCTGCTGTAATTGTTCTTCAACTTTTATCAATTTCTCTTCATCATATGGTTCGGTACGCAGCTTTTCTAATTCCATCTTGATAATCATTTCTTTTTCTTGTTTTTCTATTTTTGACAGATTATCCAATCGTTCTTTTACAAGCACGTAAATATGATTCAGTTGTTCGGCTAATGTTTCAATTGATGGTTGAGATATACGAGCAACATGAATACGAATTCGTTTTGCTTCATCATCTTTTGCTTGTAAAAATTGCAGCTTAGCTTGTAATGAAGGTAATTGATGATTTAGCATCTGAAATAAAAAATGAAAATAATTCTTTTTTTTTTTTTTTTAAATTAAAAAATATTATCAAATTTAAAATAATAAAATTAAAAATAGAAAATTTTTTGATCAAAATAACCTCCTCAAATTGTTCACGATTAATCGATTCCATTGAAAATTTGCCATTAAGATATTCTAATTCTTGAGCCAATTGTTGAGCAGATTCATTCAGAATATTTTCATCGTGTAATTCGCTATTTATCAAAGATATGAGATTTTCATATTGCTGTTGTGTTTGCTCAACATCTACATCATAAAAGCGAACATCTGCATATGCAGTTTCCAGTGGATGTAACTGTTCGGAAAGGCTTTGCAATTTTGACATCACACTACGTAAATCATTCAATTCATTAGCTGCTTTCTAAAATATCAGCTTATATAGTTCAAGAGAAGAAGAAAACTAATCAATTTCATAATAAAATAAGAGATGAAAATTTTCGAGTATACAAACCTTAAGTTTATCGAGATCATCAATTACTTCTTCACATGATCTAATATGCTTATTTCCAATCTCATCAAGTGGCTTTCGTTTTATTTCAAGCTGATCTGTTGCATTATCTCGTTCATCAACAAACTGTAACCATAGATTGGCATGATGTGACAAATTGGCTTGAAGTACTTTTGCATCCTTAACAGTTGCCTTTAAACGTATAGCCATTTCGTCATTTTCCAGCATTGTTTGAAGCAATTTTGTTGCCATTTCAAGAGGGCTCACAAATGCATCCATTGTAGTAGTATATATAGTTGGAATTGCTTCAGCATCATTTAGCACTTCTTCACCTTCTTTAATTAAAGCGTTCAATTCATCATACAAATGATTGCCATCTTCATGCATTTTTTCTGCGATACGCAAATCACTGATTCGTTTCTCTACCATTTGTTGACCATCCTGTAATTGAATAAAAATAAATGAAATTTCAATAAAATAAATATAATTTTATTCATATCAACACAATTCAACATGAATATCATTAAATTTTTACCTTTAGATGATCCAAAGCTTTTTCGATTGTATGAAGAAGATTCTGCTTTTCGGTAATTTTGTCCACATCAAGATTTCTTTCATCAATATCATCGATTTTATTTTTAAACCTTTCCAAACTAATAAATTTATCCTAAATAAATAATAATAATACTTTACTATAAGTGATCAATACTAATAAAGCAATTCATTTATGAAAAAAGAAAGAAATATTTAAAGGCAAAATAAATATAAATAAAATAACAAACTTACATTTATATCACACAATTGATGCTCAAGTTCAGATAGAGTAATTTCATCAGAAATTAATATTGGCATTGATTGCAATGATGAGAGTTGTATTTCAATTTCATCTCTAATTGCATTGAATGATGCTAATGCTGCAAGCTTTTCTCCAACTGCATCAGCTAACCGTTTTAGAATATCATTCAGTTGTGCCAGTAATCTATTACCATCCTCACGTAACTTATTACCTTCATCATTCATCGGAATATTTTCTAGCAAAATTTCAAGTTGATGTTTCTTTCCTTCAAGCTCACTTAATGCATTATTTTGTTCTTCAACTGTTTGCAATGGTATTTGTTCCATTTCATTTATATAATGTTGCACATTTTCGTTGATCAAATTTATCTCCGCAGTTGTGGAATATAATTTGGCACGATCGGTTAATTTCTCTTTCTTATCATCAAGTGCATTTTGTAATTGTACAACACGATCATAAAGATCATCACTTATTAATGCACGTTTTACCATACCTTCCGAATTATGTAATTTTCCTTCTAGTTTTTCAACTTTTCCTTTCAATTTTCGCAAATTTTCAGTTAATTCACCAATGCTCATCAATTGTTGTGATGGCTCATTTATGCTATCAACTCCAATAACATCATCACCAATTGAAGTTATTGTCGATAGTATTTCATGAACATTTTGCATCAATTCTTGCTCCTTTTTCATATCTTTTTCCAGTGGAAGAAGTAAATTTTTAATCTTATTCTTTATAATATCTGCTTTCTTTAATAAATTCTCTCTGAGCCCACGTTCAATGATATTTTCCATTGCTGATGTTGGAATCTGATTCAGAAGTGAATGCAATTGATCGATATCTTCCATAGCAATTGATAAATCTTGTGAAGTGATATATTTGTTGAGAAAATCATCAGCTTTTTGTTCCATATCATCAAGCTGTCGTTGGATATCATCAAATAGATTCTCCTGCTCCTTTGCATGATTCAATTTATCATTCACACGTGTTGATAAATCATTATATCGATCTGTTAGTTTATCGACATCATGATAAAGCTCTTTAATATTTTCAGTTTTTACCGGTAGTATTAGATCTCTGATACGATCCGATTTTTCAACTACCATTGGTAAAATTATATCTCTGAAATTCTTCAATGAATTCATCGTTCCTTCAAGCTTTTCAAAATCATTTTCGGCATTAATAAGAGTTTGCTTGAAATCATTGATTAAACATGATAGATTATTTTCAGCTTCCAATTCTTGCTTCTTTCTCACAAGCTCATCGTACCATTGTTGGAAATTTTTGTTCACATCTGATAAACGATTACCGAAATCTTCAACTGTAAAAACAGGCTTCAATAATGGTGTTAATTGTTCTTTCAATTCGTATAATTCTTTCAATGATTCTTCTAATTTATTAACATCATTAAGCCTTTTCTCAGCAACGGATAATTCACAACTGGCATTTGGAATTTCCAGTTTATGTGCATCATTTTCAAGATCCATCAACTGCTTGTTTACATTATCCGCTATTTCGTCAAATTTATTCAGCATATCAAGTCGATCTTCTAAAATTCTTTCAACATTATCATATTGCTCATTTAGTGTTGAAATTTCATCAATTACTTTCTCACGTAATGAATCCGTATCTGGTATTGTTTCCAATTTATCATATGCATCTTGTAATACTGTCAAATGTGATCGACCATTTTTGAGATCATCAATTGCTTTCTTCAAATCGTTTGTTGTTGCATTAGTATCATTTTCAACTTTATACGCTTCATCTACCATATAGTGTAGCTCTTTCGTTTCGTTGTTAATTGTTGATTGTAATGTTACATAAGCAGCTTCATTCATCAATTGCTCTTCAGTTTCATTCAGAAGATGATTAACATTTTCATACTGATCAACTATAGATGATATTCTTAAATCGTTTGAATGTTGCACCAGTTTTATTGGTTTCCTTTCCTTTTCTTTCAATTCTTCCAATATATCACTTACTTTTGCAAGTTCATTTTTTAATTCTTCTAATCGTGCAGCATGTGTTTCATCATATGGTGCACTACGAACCATTATGGCACAATCATTTAATTTACTCAATTGGTTGATCAAATCGTTTTGCATATCAACAAGTTGCTTTTGTGTTGAAACATCTTCAATAAGCGATGATAATAAATTCTGAAATAATTTTTTTCTAACTAAAAATTTTTCAAGATCAATAAATGATAAATAATCATAAAATATAATATTAAATTTAAATTACGCAAATTGAAATAGAAAAAGAGAGAGAAAGAGAAAAAAAAAAATTATATATAATTAAATACCTCAATATCTTTGGCAGTTTTTTCAATTCTTTGCTTCATTATATTGATTGCAGAATGATAGTTTGGTAAATTTTGCACTACATTCTCTTCAATATTGATCGTTTTCTTTAATAATTCCATGATCTGTTTTTGTAATCCTTCTAATATATTTATATCGTTTGTTGCTGTTGTATACGATTGTGGTTCTGTATAATTAATAAATAATCTTTCCATATTATCATTAATTTCTCGTATTTCATCTTCTAATTTATCGTAAGCAATTTTCCAATCAGCGAATGATTTCTGATGATTTGCAATAGATTCCCGTAAAATACGTAGCTTATCAATAAGAGACATTGCTTCATTCAACATCATATTGCCATCATAATCTTTTAACTTATCCAATGTTGAAATCATGAATTGCTCCAAATTTTCAATATTTTTCGCTTTTTCTTCAATATCTTCTAGATTATCAGCATTTTTTACATCATATGTTAGCAATTGATTAGCTAAACATATTTTTTCTTCTAATTCTGCAAGCTCAGATTGTACCATTTTCATTTCCTCTTTTTCTGCTAGCTTCTCATCCAATTTTCTCTGCAAAAATATAATATATTAATGATTCAAGAATGTTGAAAATGATGATGATATTATAAAATGTAAGAAAAAACGTTCATATTTTAATTTAAGGAAGCAAATTTACCTTGCATTTTTCAGCGAAATTTTGTGTATTTTCAAGTTCAGATTGAAGTGATGGAAGATTGATGCTCTCTTGATGCGATCGAGAAATAAGCTCATTCATTGGTGGTAAAATTTCACCAAATGTTTCATTTAACTCTGATTCAAGTGTATTAATTTGTTCGGCTAATGCTTTTTTATTCTTTTTCGTTCTTCCTTTTTCCGATTCTTCCTTTCCCAGCTGTGCGAGCTCAGATTGCACCACATTTTCATGCTCAGACTTTTGCAATTCCTGCAAATGTGTAATTATTATGAACGAAGACGTATTGCTTAATTATTTAGCAATGAATATATATTCACTGATAAACATATATATATATATAATATATATATATGTTTATGAATTTTGCACTGAACCTTCTTGTCTGTAGGAATATAAAGAATTCCATGATCCACTGCATCGGTGTCATCAACGATACAGGTGTTCACATCTTGCAGCTTCTGCTTCAGCTCTAAGAGATCATTTTCTTTAATGCTAGGTGAATGTCGTAATTCGTCCTCGACAACCTGCAAATATATTTATTTATTGTATAGTGCTGTGAATTGTATGAGTCTTTTTATGTATTCGTTTATGAATTGAAATTCAACCACAATAATTGTATAATAATTATTTATGTTTTTTTTGTATGAACCTGAATTATAGTTGTCACAGTTGTGGAAACCATAAGCATAATTTTCTTTCGTCTTGAGCAATTACTGGTAGGAGTTGCACTAGATGGAACACATTCCAACATGTTTTCAACATATTTTCGCTGATGAGAACACTGCGTTCGTAGTAAATTCAAATCCGATTGAACATGTTCCAGTTGTTTTCGAACCTGATTCAAATAGTATTGAATTGAATTTCTTCGGTGAAATTAATTTGAAACCTAGAGTAGATAAAATAATTTTGAAATGATTTAATAATATTTTGATTGACTAAATGATTGACCAGTCAAAAGTGAGAAATAACACATGCTATCATTCAAAAAGACAAACATTTCCGTTGCTTGGTTTTGATCATACAACGGTAAGAACAAATTTTTTCCATTGGGCAAATATACATACATCTTGAATAGAATTTCGAGCGCGCTGGTCGATATCGATATTCAGTTCATTGAGTTTTTTGGCAATACCCTCATAATTTGCTTGTAACGCTATCTCATCGTCCACTTCTGTTTGCAATTCTCGCAGAAATGTCTATAAAATAATACTATATTATTTTGATGTGTGTGAGAGATTATTTTTAGATCACTTATGAGGGAATTTTGAGTTTTGGTTGACAATAAAACTTTTGTTTTGAGGACATTTATATATAAATTATTTTGAAATCGGATTTTACCTTATCCGCAAATAAGTCATAAATGGATTTTTACGATCAGTGATCTAATAAATTCCAGTAATTTCTTTTTCAATAGTTTTGCAATTATTTTTGCCGTTTATTTTACGGTTAGTGTCCTAAGAGTGTCCTGAGATTTGTGGTGTTAATTACAAATTTATATTTATTGTTGTTTTTCTAGGGCGTTGACAAGGTGATCTTTGAGTTATTGAAATGCAGGGATAACTGAATTTAAAATCTCATAATCTCATGCTTTCGACTAATTTGTTCATTAGAAATGATTCATGCAAATTCTGAAATTTATCACATACAAAAAAAAAAAACTACAAACCGTAAATGGTTCTTCCAAGGAATGGAGATGTAGCGCTAACGAACGAACGACGGCAAAATCATCACCGGAAACTTTACGCGAAAGGCTGTCACAGGCGCCATCCAACTGACATCTTTTCTTATTGAGATCCTTTAAGACGGATCGAATAATTTGTTAAAATTCAAACATACTTTTAATTTTAACCAAAACCATTCAAGAGATATCAGTAGGTCTAGTAAGTGATTCTGTGTAAAACTAATTTTTATTTCACATGAAGCAAATTCGTTTAGTTACAATATGACATCATTTTCCTTGGAAAGAAAAAAAAAAGTCATACAAATAGCTAATACCGATCTACTTGCAACTATATCATTTACCCATTACATCGTTAGCTTTCAAGCATTTATTATTCGATTTCGTAATTACAATGTCCAGAAAGTTTTTTTGTAGAAAATCTTGTAAGAAAGCTTTTTGTAAAAATAAATCAAACAAAAAAAGGAACTACTCTGAGTTTTTCCAGATCAGCTTGAGCACTATTTAATGGTTTCAGTGATCGAGCATAATCAGCATTCAGTCCACTTAACGAATTGGCCAATATATTCAATTCCGAATCAATATCCGATAATAAAAGTCGTATTTCAGAGGTTTCTGTTGCTTGTAATACCCGTTGTTCCTGAAATCATAATGTAAGTTAAAAAATTTAATGAAAAACGAAGTTGTCGAATAGTTTATAACAATAGGACGTCAGCAGCTATTCCCTTATCCAATTTCTTCCATTTTATAAGATTTAATAGGTCATTTTTAAGAAATTATATCTGTTGCAACTGCATTTATATCCCGAAAAGAACTCATTACATCTAATTTAAATCCAAAATTGAAGTCTTACGATCGATGTTGATCACTAATCTTCATTTAACGAATATCATTATCTCTAGCTCCTTTCTTTTTCCCTAGGATATTTCCGACTTCTAAAACTCATGTTGCTAAATGTTCTAACCTCATTCAATAGTTCCCATCTATATCTTAATAAGCTTTTTCACGCTATCATAAAATTTCTGCGAAGATTTGGAGGAAATGTTTTAAGCAATTGGGGTAGTAAACTAACGTTATTACGTCCAGAATCTATTCCTAATTTGATCTTATTATCAAGGTTAGTTAGTACAATAAATTCGAAGACTGGTGATACTGCAGCGAATTAGTAACATAGTACAATTCGGAGATAGAGTCAGGTAGAAAATTCAAATTCGGAAGTGTGAAAAAATGGAAAATTGATTCTAGAATTTCAGAAGATTCAAAATTAAAAAAAGAAAAAAAAAGAAAAAAAAAAAAACCAAAGCAGAGGCAGAACTAGTTCCTTCGTACGACATTATTTCAATACAGTGATTCTCGTCTTCATCAGTTCCAGAAGTCGATAACGAACCAAGAGAAATCTGCAAAAATAAAATCAGATGTTTCTCTTTGACAGTTCTTTCTCTAATTATAATCCATGATTTTGATAACCACAATGGTATCAAATAAAAATACAGCGTTGTTATTATCCCTTATTCGCGACTTAAACCATGATTTTCAGGAATTTCAAATCTCCTCACTTATCATACCAACATAGTAGACAGGTTTACTGAAATAATGAAACAGCTGATTCTAATATATATAACTAAAATTATTTATCAATGACCTAACTCCACATTACATGATTTCTGCCTCAAAATATACCTGAGATAGCATCAATGATGAAGGTATATCTAATAGATTTGTTGAAACTACTTGTCCTTCTGGAAAATCATGTGAGGCACTTCGATGCAGCAATGTAAAATACCGATCACATTGAAATTTAACTTCATTTGATTGTAGTGGATTAAGTTTGGAACTTAACAATTTGTCAACCAATTTCTGATGTGATAAACAAATATTGTGAATCTTGCGAAGCCTAAAAACATACTCAAAATTAATTAAAAAAAAAAGACTTTTTTCCTATTAACATAACCAACTTTACTACAGACAATTTAATTAAATGATAAACAGACGATACACATGAATTACCCTACAACAACAAAAAGTTCAATATTCAAATTATTTCATCTACTAAAAAATGTTTATACATAATACTGAAACAATATGCACACATATAACAATAAGCACAGCAAAACTCGAAAACTTATAAAAATTATACAGATGTTTCGGCCACGGATCTCACCAGGAATATAAAATAGCACACCTGTTAGTTGCAATATATCTTAAAAATGTTTGCCTTTATAGAAAATTCAGAACAGCACAACAAAACAAACCTTCCTGCCTTCTCAACTGCATCATCCAAAGATTCTGCTCGATTAAGATCTTCCTCCATTAAATCAATCCATTTAGCAAATGCAGCCAGCTTTGTAGATACTCGCTGTTCACGACGCTTAGATTTGACAAATGTTTTCTTTAAACGTGCAATTCGTACGTCAAAATTGGCGGCCTTCTCGACAAGGTGATCAAGTGAACTTCGCCATTGAATATTGTTATTTTTGATTAACATTGTTAACTAAAAATTTAAACACGATGATAAAGAGAAACTTATCCGATAGTATTTAGTGTCATCAAACTGAATCATAAAACAGAAAAAAAGAAGTGATAAAATTCAAAAGATAGCATAAACGTATTCAGGGCATCTATTTCATAAGAACAATAAAAAACATGATTTAAGACTTGAATTATACAGTGAAATCATCTGGAGTATTGATCTTTAATAAAAAATATCTTCCAAATACTAAAAGCTTTAGTAAATGAGCCTCAAGAGTTCATAAGTTATTGAATCTGTAATTTATTAAAGTCTCTAAAGTTAGAAAGACTTCTCTTTTTAATAGAAATTTCAGGTTTCTGTGTTTTCTGGTGAGTTAATTGTTTAATTTGAATTTTTTTATTCGTTTTTTTTTTTTTTTTTTTTTGATTGATATTTAAATATCTAAGTCACTGTAATATTTTTCGAAGGAGGAAGTACAGCATATTTTCTATAATACTTAACCAATTTTTAGAATCTATTCTAGAATTCATTCATCTCTTTGAAAGAATATGTTTTCGAACTACAGAAATCAGTTGAAGATCAGCTAAACGGCAATGATAAGCAATGATGAATAAAGGACGAGCCTGATTAAGCTCCTCTTTCCATGGAATCCACTTCGTGACTTCATCAGTTTCAAAAGCATCCAAATTTTGGTCATTAATATCACGTTCAATAATTGCTTCCAGTTGTTCCTCTTTTTGTGTCAGGATAACCAATGATCGTTCTATACAGTCTTCCACTGTTACCCGTCGAACTTCTTGTCGTTTGTCCATTATTCGTTTCAGCTTCGAAAGAATCTCAAAATTAAATAGTCGGTCAATTTACATTTTCACTTACTATTCTTATTTCTTGTCTGTTCATTCATTTATTCAGTTAATTTTATTTGTTCATTTTCCTACTTTTCGGTAATTCACCTGTTTAAAAGGGAGATAAAAAGCAGATGATTCTATTACTTGAATCGAATGGATATTCCATTCAAATGTTCATAAAAATTCTGAGATACAACTGCTCTAGATGGCAAAAAGTGCTAGTGACAATTAAAATGTTAATAAGGAAATAAGCCAAATCATAATTTTAACAATGATGATAGCTATTTTTTCATATACATCTTTAATTAATATATTAATCATATTTACTATAATTCTTATCTATTGATGCAATCACTTTTACTTACATCATTTGCTTTAGTTTTTTCATGAGCGGCAAGATCGTCAGCAATTGTATTAAGTCGAACCATCAGCTCAGCTTCCTTCTTATCATTTTCCTGCATTTCATTTTGTAAAGTTCATCTCAATGTCTCAGCAATTGCTCTTTCAGAACAGTAAAAATCAAATTCTTTCAAAACCAATCAAATCAAATCAAAACATTTTTTTTTTTTTTTTTAATCCTCAACAAACCAGTGATAGATTCATAATACTTGGAGACTTACATGCAGTTAAAAAAAACCATTATGAAGTTAAGCAATCACTTTTTATGGCAGTTGAAATCAAGTAGAAAAAAATACCATTGAAACAGTAATGAACTCAACAACATCATCCAAATGTTCACATATTTTAATATCCGTACAAAACGCGTCTTCCAATTGATTCGACACGTCGAAAAATTCTTGGAAACACTCTGATAGTCCCATCGGTTCTTCCTGCATTTAATAAACGGATTAAAATTATAATTCACACGAATCAATTGCTTGATTTTTCATTCCTATATATTTCTATATATATTGAAATTTCTGTACAGCGAAATTGCAAGATTGCAACCTGTAGGAATAATAAAATAAAAATTAAGATGCATATTATTGGGCAGAACAAGCTACAGAGAGATGATCTTAATTATATAATTATATGAAGTAGTTTTAATTCATTAAACAGAAAAAAAAAAAAAAAAATGAAAAAAGATACTCGAACTCTATAGCCAACGTCCAAGGAAATATTTTTAATTCTGTTCAAGGCATCAACAACCGACATATCGGCGATCATCATATTAGCATCAATTTGACAAGCTGTAAGCTCTTTTCCTAAATTATCCAATTTATCGAACACTGCACTCATTTCGTTCGTCTGTAAAAGAAAAAATTTGAGTGAAGAGTACTGTTGATGCTTTTGAAAGAAAATGTAATTTTATAGTGCAAAAAGTTGTCAAATATCATCTGCTTCTTAGAACTCATAAAACATATAAACAATAAAATATTAAAATTCATATAAAATAACAATGGCCATACAATTCTATGCATATCAATTTCTACACCAATCGAGGCATCGTGCATTGTTCTGAGTAACGTATCCTCAGCATCTTTAACAAATTTTTGGAATTCTTTGAATCTGAGTAGAAGAATCTTTCGTTTTGCCATAAAATCCACCAGTCTATCCAGTTGTAATACAAGAACCCGTAATCTGAAAAACAGTACGTATGTCAGCAAACATAGTTTCTTGTACGAAATAAATGCCATTACACTCAAGAATTCATTCAGCTGCCGTGGAAATTTCTAAAAAACTAACTTTTCCTTAATTCGATCAAATTCTAGCTGGAAAAAAGATGATCGAATAGATTCAAATTGCGAACATAGAGCATTCGCCTCAGGCGCACATTCGGTTTCAACAAGTTTTAAAAGTTCTTCAAGCCTTACAGATACTTCTTCGACCTGAAAATTTTCTATTAATATATGAATAATTTTCTCTTCATTGCTTCTGTTAAGCAATTATTCCTGACTAACTCCTTTACTTTTTTGGAAAAACATGAAATGAATGCCAAACTATAATAATGAATATAGTTAATACAATTTATGGTATTGAATAAGCTTTCTTCCATTTATTAAAAGCAGTCCGTGCATTCATGAGTTTCTTAAAAACTTCAAAAACCAATATTTAAAATCAGATTTATTGTTTACTTTTATGTAGAACTAAACCTACATAACCTGCAGAATTTTAGAGATTACAAATCTTTATTGGAAAGTTCTTTATTGCCTCTATTAAATGAGGCATATAATATCAGAAGCATAAATTATAGTATAATGGAAAGTGAAAGAAAAAATAAAAAGTAACGCTATAAACTATTGTATTTTGTCAAATGACAGTAATTAATAATGCTCATGCATATTTGATAAAAACCTAAAACTTAGAAAAGAAAATCTATAGTGTATAAAAAAGTTATTTATATATATATATAACGAATAACGAAGTTATTTTCAATTCCTCATTAAATTGAAATTAAAATTTTTAGAAGAGAATGTATCACATAAATAATTAATAAAATGAATAAAAAATTTCGGTAAAAAAACAAAATCAAAATTTCTAATTCAAAAATGTCAAATTTTCACAAAAATTTTTACAGTAACCTGTTGTGATGTGATCGTATTCCATTGTTTGTTTTCTCGTTTGATGGTATCTAATGTGTCATAGAAATGTTGTAAGCCAGTGAAGAGATCCATTTTTGCTTTTAAGGTTTTTTGGGCCTCCTTAATAGCTACAACAAGCCCCAAAAACCTTGGGTCGTCACTCAATATTCCTTGTGCCTCTTTTTCGTAATCCTGAAAAAAAAAAAGAAAAGGAATTATTTAAATAGGAATTCAAAAACAGACAGTAGAGAGAGGCAGGATTATGAGTTGATTTCAGGATATAACAGCATCAATATCTATCTCAAAAAAAAAAAAAAAATTCGCAAATTCCTTTATTATAGACAAAATGAAGTGAAGCAAAAATGACCTCAATATTCCAATTTTTTCTTTTTTAGGAAATCAGAATGTTGGTAGTAAAGGAGAACGAGAGAAGGAAAGATGCACAAGAAACGGATGAAAGGAATGAAGTGCACGCATATATCAGCAAATGTCTTTTCAAGTGAGAATGATTTAAAACTAGAAAAACAAAAAAAAAAAAAAAAAACAAAAAAAAATAAAATTTAGACATGTTACATTGGAATGCAATATTCTCATCAAAAGATATACCATCTACCAGCTGCAGAAATATCTCATCTAACGCTAAGCCTGAATTTAATTCTAAATGAAACGAAGGAAAATCAGTCAGTAATTTTCATTGGGAAATAATTTCGTCCTCTTAATGTTCGCATACGGTAATTAATTCAAAAAAAAAAAAATTTAGTTTCGAATGCTCAAAACTAAAGTCAAATATAATAATTTGATGAATATTACTACAAATATCATGAACAAATTCAGAATTAAAAGTTAAAAGATAAAGCTTACCCCTAATTAATTTCTGAAGTCAAAAATTTTCATTTCTTTAATAAGCATAAATTCTTAGTTTGTAAACTTGAAACAAGAAAGCAGACTTGAAATCCTCGGAAATAGCCGATGACACTCCAATTCAAAAGTTCTAACATTTGTAGCAATAAATTCTCTTACAACAAACTTATTGCAGAATTTTGAATTTCGAAAACACTGATTCCCTTCCTTCACTTCATCTACACACAGCAATTCTTCGCTTTCAAGATAGATAAAAGGATGTTTAAATTATGAACTTCTCTACTTTCAAATCAACACTCTTATAAGTTCGTTGCAAATGATGTGATTCAAATTAAAGTTAAAAGTTCAAAAAACAAAATGCACTGGATCTTTATTTATGACAGAAGATATTTAGACAGCAAAGTTGAATTAGCTGAAGTTAAAATAGTGTCACCTTATAAATGACTCAGCAAGTTTTTCGTTCCGGATTTTTTCAGTAATTATGTGGACCTTTCTCCGACATATTTGAAATTCCTTAATGGCTCAGAATTTGAAAAAATTTAGGCATCATTATTCTTCGAAATGCATATGTTGCATCTCCAAATTTGAATAAAACATATCTCTCGCCTTAAAATCTAGTAAAATTACAGTTCAAATTGAAAAAAAAAAAAAAAAATTCTTTTGTGGAAGCAATCGAAAATGTGCATTCAACTGCAAAAGCAAAAGCACAAAAAGATGGAAGAGACTAAAAATACAATCCATTATTGGATGCAATGGAAGAGTAACAGGAGGAATGAATAGGCTGCAGAATTGCTAATACTGCTTTAAAGGACTGGGAAATTTCAATAAATGTCATACATGCTAAGCTATGAAACATTTTTTTTTTTTTTTTTGTTGTTGAATTCAGATGATGGCTGAATACACAATACATTCATGTAACGTTAAGTCATTGGATTAGAATAGTAACCTAGCAAAATTATCTTAGCTTTCTATAAAAATTATATTATTAAAAAACAAATCAAAAACTAAGTAATGCCAGACTTATAAATTTAGAATTTAGAATAATTATTTCTTTAGCAAGCATTTTCTGCTCTTAATATCTATCAAATTTCTTGGAAGAAGAAATAAAGATATAATTTGCATTTTTCCCTTAGTATTTTATCGATAACCAATGTGAAGTTTTCATCGTAATTTTTAAAAAATACTTTATTCAATTTCCTACTGGAAACAGTCGTCCGAAATTTTCATTGCTAGAGTTTATGATGAATCATTTTCTATAGCAAACTAAATATATAAAAATGTACCTTAATTGTTTTTGATTTTGAAAATAAGAAATTATTACTAAAAACTACGTATATAAACGATGAAAATATGGATAACAAATTAATAAGAAATAATGATCAATAATGATGACAATCGAGCAGTAAATACGATGAAATAATTTATGAAATAATTCCGTTAATTCTTAAAAAGAATTTTATTATAATATACAATTGAAAATGTGTTAGTAGTAATGAGAGCTATATGAAATTTAATAATTTAATTTCTTTTTCATTAACACACTTCAATTTTTCAATAACTTAAATCTATTCAATCTCCACTTACACTTACACAATGATCGAATCATCATCATCTGACTAACACATGGGGAGAACATTTCGGTTTTCTTAAAGCTTCAAGAGTGAGTCTCACTGCATGGATTACTATCTAGCCTCAATAATGTGATATCGGCAATTCGTTTGTTCTCCACAGGTTAAAAAGCAGTTACTTGGTGATATTTTGTTTAAAAAAAAAAACGTTATGAAAGTAGATCAACAGCACACATACACAGACACACACATACACATCACACAAATTAGAAAAACATAACAGACCTGAAGAATGTCAACAGCAAGCTGTACATCCGTCTCGCCAACCACCGACAACTCGATGACTCGCTGCTCCGCCCTTGAGAATGATTCTGTGATGGCTGTACGAAGTTCCTCCTCAATTTCCTTCAGATAACGATTTCGAAGGTTTATGACGCTGATATCAACTACATTAATGCACTGCTGACTTAGACTATTTATTTCCGCATTCAAAAATATCAATTCCGATAATTGTGGATTTCCGGTTAGCTTATTTCGAAGCACCCCAATTGCATCATGAATCATTTGTAATTGACCAATAGCTTCTGTTTTCTGATGCCATTCTTTCTGAAGTCTTTCCTTCTCAATACTGAATTCATTGGATACAGGTATAGAAGTATTACTGCCTGCAGAGAAAATACTTTCCAAATGAGTATCAATTTCAGTGATATGGTCGACCAAAATTGTAATATCTGTCCAACTTTCTATAGATTGTTCCAAAAGTTTCTTCTTTCTAGCTAATGCCGCTGCTATTTTGGCCTGAAAATTGAATTTTTTTTTTTTTTTTTTTTCAAACCGAAAATTAAGAGGATTCTTAATTTTCTTTAAATCAAAAATTTTACAACGTCATCTTATTTTAGGAAAAAAAAGTATAATGTATGCTGCATTATAGAAGAGATAAAACTTCGGATGAAAGAGAATTGACAATGGTATGCATTTAATTGTCTAAAAACGACCTCAACAGCTGACTGTAAAAAAAGCAGTTAATTTAACTGGACGAACTATAAATTACAAGAAACTTCAAACAAAACGTTCTCAAAACAATTCATAAAATAAACTCTTTAAGTTTTTGGAACATTTTACGTATATGCAAAAAAAGCAGATGTGTAAATTAAATATAAAATTAATTGCAAAAAAAAAAAAAAGATTTCACTTTCAAATGATCAAGCTAAGTCTTATGAGTAAGGATAAAACTGTCATTACAAAGGAAATATCTCTTTGGAAATGGATCTGCTCTAATATCACTTTGTAATATACAAGATTCTTCTTGAATGTTTCCCATTATTAAAAATAACTTATATCTCATAGAAATTACAAAATTTTTTCTATCTTTTCTTTTTCTTGTCTGCCTTTTTCCTTCTTATTTTATTTTCCGGTAAGCTATAAAACATAAGTTCCTGAAATAGCTCTGGATAAGTAAAAGTAAAAAAGACAAGTGGAAAGAAAATGGATGAAAGTCTGGTTGTTGTTCATACTTTTCCGTCCAATGAAGAAAATTGAAATCGACTATGTTGAAGAATAGAGGGACAGCAATGGTGAGAAAACGAAGATCCAAAAGGATTATTCATATATCATTGTAACTAATAAATTACACTGAGAAATGACTGTTTCGATGTATATTCCTATGTTCTATATTATTTACTCAAAGAAGCAATATGTAAAAGTGAATTTCATCTTGAAAATTATTGCTGACATTTTTAAAAAATTTTCTTAACGAAATTTCATTTTTTTTTTTGAAAATCTTTTAATGCACATTTTTACAGAAATTGAAAAGTTTCACTCACTCCTTAAACATCCATAACTATCACTTAAAATAGCAGTCAAATTCAGTTTGCCTTAAAAAAATTTCCAAAAACTCTCATATACAGAAACAAATAGTTAGAACAAGATTTTATAGAAAATATTCTATGTAAACATACATTTTTGGAACTTGTATCTACAAATCTTGCATAAAACTACTATTAATTCATTCTACCATAATTTTTTTTAAAATTATGGTAGTTTTTTTTAAATTAGATTCAGGCGAAATGGAATTAATTTAAAAAATAACAAAGCAATTTCGAAATTGAAAAAATAAAATTCGTAACGAAAACTTACCGCAATTCTGGATGATTCTGTTGTTTCCTCAAGTTTCTCTTTTCTTTCCTACAAAAGTAGAAATCGAAAAAATAGAGAAAACTGGGAAGTGAAAGTATCCTGTTGCTACTTTTTGTTTTTTTGATTCTTTGCTTCAGTTATTAATCATCTAGTCTTCAACAAAATTAATTCTATAAAATATTATCGAAGCCAAAAGGTGCGTCCTTCCGTCCTTTTTTGCGCAGTTATAAAAGCAATGAATTTAAATCTACTCCAACCATGAACTTCATAATTATTGATATCAAATCTTATAAATGCATTAAAAATAGGAATACACAAATGCATATGTAATTTCCAGCTATTACTCAAACTGAGCAATATAAGCAGTCAATTAATTTTTCCGGAAATTTCTGACTAGTAAACTTAATTTCCTGACCCAATTAGAACTAGCATTATCTACCTCAAATTTCTCAGTATAATCCGTTACAGTACGACAAATGTGACAAAATTACTGAACCTTTATTCTGTGTATTAATTCATCGAGACGATGTTGCAAGAAGTCACAATTAATCCATTCTTTATATTCATTTCGTGACAAAGTTTCTAGTAAGAATGTCATATGATTAATCATATCAGACTTCTCACTTTCTTCATTTTCCTTTTCATTGCCCTATAAAATTATGAGGTTATGGAAAAAAAAAACTGGCTGAAAAATCAAACAGTGGAAAAGAAAAATCACAAATTACTCAATCATTTACAATAAGAATTAAAAATATATTAAATAAATACAAGCAAATTTTCAATCAATTTTGATGATAAAAAGAAGATTTCGCTCATGAATATGACAAAGAAATATAAAATAATCTAAGTAGAAACAAATTCCTACTTGGTGATTCAGCCAATTTAGAACATTATCATAATTTTTTTCAAATGATAAAAACAGAGGTTGAACATTTTTCATATGTTGCAACAGAGCTTGCAAATCGGAACGCAGTTTGCGATATTCGCCTATATTTTGTTCATTGTTTGCAATACGCGTCTTTAACAATGCCATCCGTTCATTCTCCACTCCTTGCACTTCGCGAAGACAATCCTACATGAAAAGATGAAAGCAATGAGAAAAACAAAAAAGAATAAGTAAATATTTGCATATCTCTAATATCAGCTATAAGCAATATGAAGTTGACATGTGTGTCATGGAGCTTGCATATGGCGTAATACAACTTTACAAGTTTCTAAGTTGAAAATAAACTGAATTACATCAATTTCATGCAACAATTTCATTTATACAAAGATCGTTATACCAATATCCAAAAGTACTAACTGTCACTTGACTAATTGCTTGTTCTAAGCTACTCAAATCGGTGACAACAGTAGACATTTGTTGACGAGCCATAACGAGCCATTTTTGAAGTCGACTGTTTCCGGGGCTTTGTTTATCTAATGTTGTAGCATCAATATTTTCACCAGTTGGTACTGTAACCTTAGTTCGGACTGTTTTTTCCAATATTGCATTTCCTTGCAAATGTGATGTTACTTTTGTTGGTATTTTCTGCAACATTATAGTAAAGTACTGAAACTTGTATGAATGAAGAAGCAGAGAGGACTTCTACATCAGTCAAAATTACATCATGAAAAACCATAATTACTGAGTTCAAATTTATTTCAGTTTTTATTCCTATCCTGCCTATCATAGCCAGTAAATCAGATTTTTGTGATTCAAACTGAATCTTAAATTCACGAACTATCAGTGTCGAAAGGACAAAAATAATCAAACCTTGTTCTATATAATAATTTGAAGTATGTTGCAAAAATCACGAAATATTAGAAAACATACTCGTTTTATGGTACTGATACGCTTTCTCAGTTCAGAAAGACGATTGTTAACAACTTGCTGTACTTGATCATTTCCAAATCTTGCGATATCATCGCGAATCCTCTCACAATATTGCAACAATTCCTTGTCATCTTCGTCAATCAGATTGCGTTTCTCACGCTCTGAACGCGTAATTCTCTCTTCAATCTGGAAAAAATTTTGAAATCAAATACAAATCCGAAAATTAAATTCTTTTTTGAATTCTACTGCAAAGTTTTAAATTGAATTTCCAAAAAATAAACAATTCCTGTTGTAATACTTTAGCTGCAGTATTTTCAAATTCACGCCAAAATTTGGAAAGTTCATCCAGATGTGGTTTCAATTGCTGGAATTTTTCCACTGTTTCTAATGATGCATCCTCGCACTGCTTGATAACGCATTCAGTTTCTTCTACGGAAGCTGAAATTGAAGAAAAATAGCTTTGACCGTTAAGTAAAAGTGATAAATCAAAAACCTGCAAGTTTAGGGAGTATTTCTTGCTCAAAAGCTTCATTCACTAATTCCAGGCTTTCCTGAAGATGTATTTCTACTTACAATACTTCTGTAATTTAAAATTGTATCAGGTAGCTATAATAATTGGTACTAAACATATATTTCAAGATGAAAATAATTACAAATGCTTATGAAACACAGAAAATGAAAGTAATTAACTAAATGCAAAGGAAACGTCAAAAGAAGAGAGTCTAAGAACGGAAACATTGACTATTTACAAGATTGGAACTTTTTCCATTTAAGTTATCCATTTAGAAAACACGACAAGAAAAAAATTGATGCATACCTTCACTGTAAACTTGTTTTAGATGCGCAAGAAGTCGTTTGAATTTTTTCGCTGGAGCGCCATCCGCTTCCATCTAAAATTTCAAAGCAATAAAATTAGGCCTGCTTCATATGAAAATAAGTAAAAATTTTCGAAAAAAAGAAGAAAGAAAACTGCTATGATTCAAAGAAACTCAAATTACCTTATATTCTTTCAAAGATTTTTGAATAGCAGCAGCTGAATCACTGGATTTCCATCGTTCCATCTTTTGATTCAACGCTTCTGCATTAGAAAGAAGCTGATAATGTGCTTGCACTCGATGAAGGTATTGCAAATGACGTGGAGCTGCAACTGCTAGAGTATTGAATCGAATCTTCAATGGTTCTAGCAATTCCACGGCAATTTCGCGTTCGTCTACCTTTCGGTTAAGGTAAATAGTTTGAAATCGTTCCGATCGATAAGGGAATTCCGAGAAATGAATCTGTAAAAAAAAAAAGAAGATTTCTAATACTAAAAGCATACAATGAAACGATATGCTTAAATATTTCAAAAAATCATTTAAAGACTTTTTTTTTAACCTAGGTATGAATATCCATCTGTTCATCCTCAGATTTTAATAAGCAGTTATCAATATTGAACGTATAAACCTTATGATGACTAATTGATTCATTGATATTAGACAGTGATAATTGTACATCGTCCACCCGTATATCTACCGGATTTTGTATCATTTGTTCTGCAGTACATAACCATTGTGCCAATTCAGATAATTTTTCTGGCAATTCACATTCCAAGCTATGACTCCATTCTTCCAAAAGATCTCCAATCCTTTTCCAACTATAAATAACATTTTGAAAATTTTTGTATTAAAATCAAATTATGATTAAGAGTAGCAGGAATCATAACAGATCATAGAGTAAGCATTTCTCAGCTGGACATCGCACTCATAAAAAAGCCTGTTATCTATATTGGATGAATAGAATGAAAGTATAATCTTATTTAAGTAGAACATTCTCAATTGGAAGAACACAAAAAATATGTCAGGTAATTGTTGTCTTATCTCTCTACATTTATCAATTACGACTATTAAAAACAAAAGATGCGTAATTTCAGTTTAGTTTCTTCTTCATCTATGCTTTTTTCTTTTTTGCTAAAAACAAATTGTAATTCACAAGATATTTTAGAAATGTGAATTTATTTTAACCTGTCATCAACATCATTTTTATTGCTTTTTTTTTCTTCAAGCAGTAGAGAAAAGAGAAAATATATATGTGTGTTTATGTTTGATTTTAATGACTGTTTCAAGCATGTATTTCTCTGACGAAATAAAAAACTGATTATTTTCAAGGGAAATTTTTGAAAAGTGAATTTTTGCTATGTTTAAATAGAAACTTTAAAGGAACAAATGCGGTTTGATTTAAATAAGCCATTAAACTACTGATTGTATAAACATTCAGCAAAATCAAGTTCGAATGTCTCTACTTACTGCTGTTATGTACACAAAATCCTATTCAAAAAACACTTTATTTACAACTCCTAATTCTCATTAAAATAAAGCATTAAAGCACACTTTCTTCCTGATAATTGTTTCAGAAAGCAAAATTTTTTTTCTGTTTAAACTTTGTTCATTTTAAAGTTTATTAGTTTACGCTTTATTGTTTATGTTATTTACTATATACAGTACATGCTATTTTTACAGAAGATTAAACTGTTAAACCTTTTACCAAATTCTGTTCTTTTAACGTTACCTTTGATGTACTGAAGTTTCAAGTACAGAAAATAAGTTTTTAGCAGCTTAGCTAGCTAATATCAACATAATATTTCAGCTAATATCAACAACCATAATCTAGGATATACTGATAAAATAAACATCGAAAGGAGAAACGATATTATTTCTACTTAACTTTTCCTTCCATTCATCATTATATTTTCAAAATCAATCGTTACTATGCTAATTTTATCAATAAAAATGGAAGGAAAGAGAAATAAGAATTTCTGAAAGATATACTCTGTACAGTACAGAAGAATATGCATAGTATATATGAATGTCTTTTCTACCACTACCGCCCGTACTTCAAGATATTTCTGTTAATTTAATGAAGCCTCGATGCAATTCTAGACAATGTCAGGCAATTACCATACCTCTTGGATTAGATTTACCTGAGAATGAATCATTAAAAAGATAAATGTATCAATTTTTTGAAGTGCTAAATGATATTTAATAGATTTTCTTGATTTCTAAACAAGCTATAGGTGTAAGCTTACCTGGCTTCAATTTGATTCCATTCACCTTCCGGTAATTTAGTAGCATATTCGCGAAGTGAATAATATGCATTGCGATGCTCAAAATACTGTTTTCGTAATGATAGATATGTCTGCAGTATATATGCAATTTAAGATAAGTTAACACATCAAATCTTGATTTTGGTCATGTATATAGATAATATAGCTTAACCAGAATGTCATAATTGTTAGATCTAACTAGATTTTGCTAGCAAGTTCGGTATATTACTTTATACGAAATGCTAAGTAGTGCGGTTATATTTTAAGAATAAACAGTGAAAAATGTGGAAAATTAAATGACAGTCATATAAAAAAAAAGAATTTGAAATTAAAAAACTGCCAAAGACCTGAAGAGGTATATAGATAAACAGGGTTACTGTTAACTATAGTATCAATTAAAACAGCATATATTTACTTCAATAACATTAATAAAAGATCTCAAGATGCTAAAAGTGCCTTTATTCAAAGAAGTTAATTTATAGTTTGGGCAAATAATAATGGTTATATTTCATGGTAACGGTTTATTAAAGTGAATATAAGCAAATAAGTTACCTGATATTGATCATAAAGTGGTGCATCAACAGATGATCTTAAGATGCTCAAAGTATCTTCCATCCAGGAAATCAACGAATGGTCATCAATCATTTGACATGTAGCGATCGGTCGTAAATGCTTTAAGGTACGAATGAACTGTGATACATAAGTAATCACAGATCGTTTATCTGATTTGTCACATAACATATCTTCCACATCAAGTAATGGTCGTATATGCAGATGTTCCTTTGCTAGTCGAAACGCCTGAAATTTCATTATTTACATATTCCACCTATATAGACAGCAGGAAATGGGCTATATATAAACAAAAGCATGTAAGGATATAAAAATTTAATGTAAATCTTTAGAATTAGGAATGGAATAATTAATTTTTTTTTTTTTTAGAAAATTTAAGTGCATTCTCAACTTAAAACTTCCCAAATTTATTGAGTAGATTTTATCTACCTGCTGAAGATTTGTTTTTGGATTGCTTCGATACACAATGTCCATGTCCACCAATTCAGGTCTTATACGATGTATCAGTGCATTGAAAGCAATTCCATCACGCCAACTTTTATCCATATCAGTCAGATTGATATTATAAGGTCTTAAAGATAAGTAAATAGTGTTTCATTAATTTTCAATATAACTTCTTAGAGTTATTTCCTTTTTTCTGTATCATATTTCGAATTCATTTAATTGATTTGATTATCTTCATTTCCCAAATATTTCATTCTCGAGTAATTTTTGCAAAATCATTTGTCTCTTATTTCTTTGTTCAAAATATTTCTAGTCTTGAAGACTGCAAATCATTTTAAATCAGTTTAACACTTATTTTCCTTAAAATGTATGAACAATATTGAGCAAATCAATCAACATTCAAACTACCTTGCAAGTTGTGCATTTACCCATCGTAATACTACACGATCAACAGGTGCTTTTAGACGTCCAATACGTAACTGATGTGGTAATTTACCAAAGGGACTATTTCCGTTGCCAATTCTAGACGTTGATGGGCTATTGGCCAATTCTAGCTCAAATCCCCATTCTTTCAACAACTGGACGTTAGTCTCGATCTATAAGAGTGTGTACAAAGAAGAGTAAAGATGTAATCCCTACTTTTTTAAATTTGATTTAAAAAAATACTTAACAAAGAAAATATTATTTAAGAAAATTTGATCAAATTAAGCAATTTTATACCTGGAAATGAAGGATCATCTGCCAAATGAGTCCACAAATTATTCGAGGATTTCCATTGGCTATATCTGCTGGATTATTGTTCACCAAATCAAGACCGCGACGTCGCAAAGCTGCTAGTGCTGTTGTTAAATTGCTGATATGGTGTACCCGTTTTGATTCTTTTGCCTTATTAATTGGCTAGAAATTTTGAAATTTCATTGAAATTCATTAATGCAAAAAAAAATTATATATTATCTTGCAAATTCAAGCACATTTTGAAAATTCAAGAGAAAAATTCTGTTTGAAATTTCAAATTCATTTTCAACCTTATTTCGTTTCAATTTTACATTTATTATTAAATAGTGAACAAAAAGAAGGCTGGCCATTAATTTGACCAAGTCATTAATTTTTGAATTCTATGACTTTCCATTTCTACTCTATTTTCATCAGATTCATTAATTAAAAAGAATCAAAATATTTTTTTCAGCAAAACATAACTAATATTCTACTTCAGAAAATCTTGAAAGAATCTGTTGATAGTATTACAAAATGCTCAATGAGATAACAACATACCAGTGCTTCACCGGTAAGAACTTCGATAAGATGGCATAATAATACACCATCTCTGAGATCCTCAAATAGATCTTCCACCAGTTCTGACGAACTATGCTAAAAAAATTATTTTATTACTTAATTAACAACATTTGCTAAATTAATAAAAGTTACTTTAACCACATTTGAATCATATTTTACTACACAACTTTATATCTTCAAAATAATGGATTTGAAGATTTCAATTCAGAATATTGTTAAATGATACTAGCAAAAGGACGAATTAAATATGCCAATATTATCAAGCAAGAACAGTTTGAGCACCAAGGAAAGGAATAAATAAAATGATTCAGTATTTGATATTATGTACTTTTATATGATGGAACTTATTCACAAATAAGTGTTTTTGTTAGTGCGTTGAATATTTACTTATATTTTTGTAATTTTACTTTTTATAACTTCTTATAATTTTACTTTTGCTTTTGTTTCCCCATTACATTGTTAAGTTTGACCATTATGAAATGGTAAATATTACTGAATTGTGAAATGAAGTAATAATTAGATGAAAATTTTGTTATTATTTCTAAATAATAAATTCACTTGCTATGCTTTTAAATGGATTCTTTCATAAGCGAGAATTATCAGAGGTAAGTAAACTTGACAATATGACTTTGCTGAAAGCCATTTATGATTGAAGTTTAAATAAATTACAATAACAGATCTTCAAATTAAGAAAACTGCATAAGTGATAAGAAAATCACCACTATTCTGATATATCATCATAGAATAATTTGTAAAAATATTCAAAAATGGAAAATGTAACTATTTACTATTTGCTTGTGACATTATTTATTACCTTATGGTCCCACTCATGATAACTGTATGATTTGTTTACGAAAAATCAAATAGTTTCTCCTCCATATTCACTGCTTATTTTTTCAAAAGAAACTTCAATGAAAATTATTTGCGCAAAGAATTATTCACTTTTTTGTCAAACTTCTGGGAAGAAAGCATCGAAAATAAACTGTAACTGATTTATAGGAAAAATGAAAGGATTCTTGAAAGCATAAATGAAATGGAGGTAATATCAACAGAATAGCAATGGGATGGTACTAAAGCTTATAAAATCCAATGTACTGCTCTTGAAATTTATAAAAACTTATACAAAACTTTTCTTCTCTTCATTTTTCTACTCCACCCTAAAATTTGTTTATGTGTTTTTGCTTTTTTAGAATATTCTCAGAGTTATACTGAAATAAAAACAAAATCATTTGAGAAGTTTTAGTGTGAATTTTTGTACCATTCTGTATTTTGACACAAATTAGCGAACATTCAAATTCGGATCACAACAGCTGCAGAAGAATGATGAATTTATAATTGATGAAATGTTCATTTACGAGTGAAGTTGTCTAATGAAATATTAATGAAATATATTAAAAGTATAATCGTACGGGCGCAAGGATGAAGAGAAAAATGCAAATAGATGAATGATTTCGGAGCGACAAAAATATACCCAATGATAAATCAAATTTCATAGTAATTTACACAAAGATCGCTTATTCTTACTCAATATCAATTTAATTTTTAAATTACGAAATTAATGCAAAACATATAATAATGTTTTATTTCGTACCTCAATCAAAATGAGTCTAAAAAAAAAGATTCAGTTTATCTTGCAGACTTAATGAATAATAGCTAATCGCTTCTCTACCAGAAAGTGAGTGTAAATTTTTCTTTTCACAACAAATTTTAATTGATGATTTACTAGGATTAACATTTTTTAATTTGCACCTAAATATCTGTAAATCATTTCTCATTCATTTCTTAGCTTTCTTTCTTTTTTTCTTCTGGAATGAACAACATGACTGGTAAAAGTTAACTTGAATGGTCAAAATTAGCACCAATAAAATAGAATTTTTATTAGAATTCTTTAGTGACAGTTGATCCCTATTTAATGAAAAAAAATTTTCTTTTTTTTTTTTTTTTGGCTAGTTGATTTTACCCAATGATACCTTTTTCAAACTGTTTCTAACTATCTATTACTCACTACATTACACACTTTTGACAGCAAAATTACTGCAAGATAAAAACGATAAATTCAAAAAAAAAAAAAAAAAAAAAAAATGCAAAATGTTATAGCAATAAAAACGGTGAGAAAACTAACAGTTTCAAGATGATAATTGACCCATTTTGTAAATGTCTTCTTTTGCATCTCATCGTGTTCATCTGAAACTGCATGCAGTCTATGATGTATATTTATCATTAATGATAAGTAATAATTCTTGTAGGAAACAAAAAAAAATTAGTGTATTAAATTGAATAAATTATGCAGTTAATAAATAAATAATCAGATCTGCACAAATATTATTCCAAATAATAAATAAATAAACAGCTCCACACAAATATAATTTCAGATTTTGAATTTATTCATTGATTTGTAATCTTGAACTAGGTTGATTAATATTTGTTGAATTTTCCAAAAGGAATATTGTTGGTTTTCTTGGAAAAAATACATTATTTAATATCATTATCTTTTTGGAATATATTTTCTCTCAGCGAGATTATAGCTATATAAAATAGTACTGAATAGTAATAGCAGTTTGAGTCTATTGCTTTAAACTTAATCGTATGCCATGAAAATGATGAAGTAGGTTAGTGGCAAATTCTGATGACTGCACAGCTGTCACCAAGAAAGAAAAGCTTTTATAGTTTTTTTAACCGATAAAAGAATAATTCCAAAATGATAGTGAAGTTAGGGAGTGATGACAGTATAGGATGACAAGAAAACACTGGAAGGAGAAGACTATTTCGTTGATGCTTTATTAATATTCAATTTTATTCTTTTTTTTTTTTTTTTTTTCTTTTTTGCTGATCACATGAAACACAGACAATGATCATACGACAGAGAGAATTGCTATTGGATTGATAAGTTTATGTTTTAATTTAAATAATGTCAGCCACTTTTTGGAATCAACGTACGGAAAAAAAAAAAGAGCGAACGAATCGTTTCAATCTTTCGAAGTTCAGAACAGCAATATGAATGTATTAAATTAGGTAACCATTTTAAGTTTCCCTTCCTTTCATAACGATTACTTATACTGACAAGCAATTACTCACAAATGATTCTTTCCAAATTTAACTATCTGGAAATTCTTATTATTGTAGGATGTTTTTTTATGATTTGTTTAACGTTTTAAAAATATTCTTTTTGTTAAAATCAAGAGAGATGATTGTTACTAAACATTATGATAATTAACAAAATATTAAAAGAAATGCTTACGTCGGAAAAATGGAAAGCATGTACAGCATGGTGCGGACATGTACATAAAAGTTCTGCAAATGATATAACTAAGAACAGTAAAATTAACGTCGTATTTATTTTCAGCGTAAGTAAAACAACAATAAAAGTATTACTGAATACATCTAAGGATATAATGCTACAGCAATAGAATAACATCCTTCTTATTTCTAATTAATTAGATTAGAGTAACTAATGGATACCTATGCAAGATATTGCGTAGGTTTACTTATGAGTTATCAAGAAAGTTAAAATAGCCCCATAAAATTTTTTTTAATATGCACTAAATTAATAAAGATCTATTCATAGTATCAAACATAAAGTCCATGCACTCATTACTAAAATTTGAGACATTAAGTAAAAAAAAACAAAAAACAAACAAAAAACACAAGAAATGCACAGGTGGTTTTACTGGCTTCAGTCCCAGTTATTTTATTAGTGATGATGAAAAATAGAGTAAACAACATTGAGGGTGGAGATTTCTGATCATCACATGATGTGAAGCAAGATAGGAAAGAAATTTATTTTATGTAATAATACATACACACATATATATATATATATACCTACCCACCACACCCAGAGACATATACAGACAGATAGAAACAACAAATATTGATGATTGAAGTCCTTACAAATACACTAACTAGCATTATTAGAGTTTAATTGGTTTGGGTGACAACAACGATGAAAGCGACTAGGTGGCAACAACCGTGCAATGCTGCTTACTCATCGGTGATCAACAATAATCTTAAGAACAACACACTGAAACGACGATGTGACATATTTGTCTGTCACCGAGATATCTTCCAACTTCGAAAGCCATCAATAACCTCATCTTATTAAATTTAGTAACTATAATGTTTGAGCATATGATTGTTTCAATACATTGGAATTTTCAATTTTTCATTTGTATCTCGCAATTCTATCAAATGATGATGTTTCGTATGCAGCATGTTGTAATGTTTCTGCTATACATTGAACAACTCATCATTTCATACAGTACTGTTCGGGTAAATAGGATGATATTTAACTAACTGTTGACTGTGATACGGGTAATCATCAAACTCGTTACAATAAATTGGTTGACTTAAATCAAACTAGTTACCATAAATTGGTTGGTTTAATTTTTGAATATATTTAATAAAAGTATTACACTGAAATGCAGGACAATTTTTTTTTTTTTCTTTTTTTTGTTATTAAAGATTATAAGATGAAAAAAAAAGTGCGCATCTATTTCTCATGCTATTTTTGTACTTCCGGATTCTTTTGCGGAAGAAACAATTCCTTTTTTTTTTTTTGAAAAATTAAGAAATTTCAAATAAATTCAAACCTCTGCTAGATGAGAGTCGTCCTGGTGAATCCATTCGTGAATTGCTAAAATATATGTTAAGTTTTTCTCTTTTTTTTTTTTTTTTTCAATCATTAATTTTTATTAAAATTGCAATAAAACGTAATGACGTAAACGCGAATACAGTATAATGAATATTAAAAATATTCACTGTATAATAGGAATTGTTATTAATAAATCATTTCACTCATCCAAATATATCAATCTAATTTTATAAATGGAAATAGCAATTTCTTTCATTAGTTCATTTTTAAATAATATTTTTTGATAAAAAATTTTATGAAAATCATGAACAGTGTAAATAATATATATGCATAATTTGAAATAGCTTATTAACAGCATTTATAGAACAACCATTTATTAAGCAACATTAATTGCATAAATTCTAAGTAACGATAATATGTAGCTAAGCAATTTAAAATATTACACATAATAAATCCATCGGAAAAGATAAGCAAATGTCCACTGAAACCAATTCAACATATTTATGCATATACATAACATTCTTCTTTATCAGTAAACAAATAAACAAATAATATAAGTTAATAAATTTATATTAAGTTAAAAAATATAAGTTAAAAAACATATATATATATATATATATAATAAACTATAAAAAGCAAATAATAAAATAATAGAATTTGTTTTTTCTTCCTTTCTCTTTTTTTTTTTTTTTGTTCTCTTTAAATTTTCATTACTTTTTGAAACATAGTAAGTGCGTGCGTGTATGTTTGCTTATCCTCTTTACTTTTTCTCACCTATTTTTAACCTTTCTTTTTCTTACATTAATCTTACATTATAGAAAGTTAGTAAGTTTCTAAGTTTACGAAGTGTACTTAATCATATGTATGAGGTACACAGTCTAATATTTCTGTATTATTTTAAATCAAATTTTAAAAGTTTTTATGATATAATTTGGATGAATATAGCTGTAAAAACAAACATTCCTGTTAGTCAACAAGCAAAAAAGAAAAAAAAAAAAAAAAACGGAAAATTCCTCAGTTAACAACACGCAACTATGATGATACATACATAGCAAAAAGGCAAATTAAAAAAAAAAAAAGGAGAAAGAGAGAAAAAATAAGATGCAAAAATTTTAGAAATATTTTTTCGTACTGTTCGAACATCAAATTAGCATTATTTTCATTAATTGTTACTAAAAGAGAATCTATAGAGGTGTAGCAAATGTAACATTACAATCATTAACAAATACATTTCTTCCTTTCCCTTTTTTTCTCTCTCTCCTCTCCTCTCTCTCTCTCTCTCTCTCTTTCACTTATTTCGTCACCACTGTTTCCTCCATATTAGAAAAAGGAAATAAACCGAAGAAAATATTTTTGAAAAAAAAAATTTCACTCATAAATTATTTAATGAAATAAAATAGAATGTAATATTACAAAAATAAATACATGATAAATGAACAAATAAGAGAGTTAAGCAAATAAATTAATTTTTTAAAAAAAAAAAAAAAAAAAAAGTAGGAAAAGTTGAGAAAAATGAATAATAGGAGGAAAAAATTGATGCACATATGAAAGCATCGTTTGTTATTTGATAAGATATTGAAATATGCAAGAGAACAGAAAGAAAAAAAAAAAAAAAAAAAAACTTTTCTAGTGAATTGTTGCATCAATTTCTATATATTGGATTGGTATGAATAAACTAGAAATATATTTTAACATTTCATCTAATCTCTCTCTCTCTCTCTCTCTCTCTCTTTCTCTCTGTAAGATTAAATTCATTGTAGTTCATTGAAATTCATTTCCTAATTTCTGTATGCGCTTTTTTTTTTTCCCTGTTTCTTGATAAAAAAAGAAAGTGATAATGTGACTAATTTTCTAAATCTGCAAAAATATTTTAAAGTTTATATGTTAGCGTTATAATGACAATATTATTACACACAAATGCTTTAGCTTAGATCAGAGATTAAATTGCTAATATTCAAAATTCCCATTCCTCTTTATTATTGAAATTTGATTTTTACTTTTTTTTTTTTTTTTTTGGAAAGAGAATATTTTTGCATAGATTTCCTTCACGAAGAAATGTAATAATTTCGCTACTTTTCTCATCAAATAGATATGAGCTGAGAGTTTTTTTTTTTTTTTTTATCTGTTGTAAATTTCACACTGAAATTAGGCAAATTGTAATAAACTCAATTTGAATAATATTAACTTCTTTTAGACAAAAGAAAAATCTAATTTCTTTTTCAGGGTCACTTATTTATTACTACTGACCATTTGATACTATTTTTTTTTTCTTTTTGTTGTTGAAAATGCAATGAAAATTTTGATCCAACGAAAATAGAAATTTCCATTCATTTTACTTTTTATTTTATAACTACTCAAAAAGTTCCACATTCCACATTGCACTATCTAAGTTGGAGATAATTAGTTAATAAAATAAAACAATTGAGTAAAAAATTCAAAAAAAAAAAAAAAATAAATAAATAAATAAAATGGAATTCAAGAGAAGTGCTTTTCACGTTTTATTTGCGATAATAATGTAACAACAACTACTTACGACAATAATAAGTCGTACTTTTAACATTATATCCTTTGCAAACACGGCATATCAGTGATTACGATACTGTCGAGAAAAAAAAAATAGGAAATCGAACTACTTCGAGAGTTACTGCAAGAGAAGAGAGAGAGAGAAAGAAATTGATGCTAAAAAAAAAAAAAAAGAAACAAATGGACTCATTCTTCAAGGACAGAGAAGAGAAAAGCGCAAAAGTGTATTGTGATGTATGTGTAAATTACCCCACCGTCCTCATCTTTTTGTTTTTTGTTTTTACAAATAAAAAAAAAAAAGGAGAAAGAAAAGATGAAATTAATGGATGCTTGAAATGAATGATGAAAAAAATGCATCTATTTTGTCTATTTACCTTTTTCATGAAGTAATTAATTATCAAGTTTTTTTCAATCTTTAACTTTTAATTATCGAAATTTCTAATTTCAAAACATAGAAATAATACTAGTCATTTTAACTTTAACTTAGCTTTGTCACAAATTTGCCTCAAAATCTCTATCTCTTACGTTTATTTACTGCTATTATTATAAGCAATATGTTGTCAATTAGCAAAAGCATGAGAACATGACAATTTTAATGAAATTAAAACAAATTTTCATAGTATTTTCATCTCAAATATATCTTCATTTATTTTATTTTATATTTATTATTTATTTATTTATTTATATTTATTCAATTTATTTATTAACAGATAATTACTAACAGATATCGTTAAAATAACACATCTTCTATAGCTTCTGTCTTCTGAAAAAAAAATATATATGCATATCTAAATAGATATAATATATGCATAGAAAAATACATATCTAAATAAATATAATTGTTAACAAAAATATTCAAGAAATATGCAAAACAAAAAAAAAAAAAGAAGGAATGTTGAAAGAAAATAAATCAATTTTTCCTTCTTTTTTTTTTTTTTTTTTTTTTGTTTTTCATCCAGTTTCTATTATTAAACCTATTTTTCAATATAATATCCTCTTCAGGCAAATATTATTTAAGCAGAAAAAAATTAATATTAAATCAATAATAACACAGCAAAAAGAAAAAGGATAAATTTCCTTCATTTCAAATAATAAATTCTTGATTATTCACTTAAATAATAAATATAATTCAATCAAATTAAATATTTCACAACAAAATTTTTTTTTAAAAAAAGAAGCAAAAACAAAGAATTAACAAAATATTTCACTGATAACTTTTATTAGTTAAAAGTAGTAAACAATGAATGAAACTTTTAGAAGCAAAAAAGCACAACGATACAAAAAGTAAATTTATTACCAAATTTCTTAGCTCTTTTTCATTCTGTTCGTAAAGATGTGTGTGTATGTATGTGTGTATGTGTGTGTGTGTGTGTATGTGTGTGTGTATGTGTGTATGTGTGTGTATGTGTGTGTGCATGTATGTATGTATGTATGTATGTGTGTGTGTGTGTGTGTGTGTGTGTGTGTGTGTGTGTGTGTGTGTATGTGTGTGTGTGTGTGTGTGTGTGTGTGTGTGTGTGTGTGTGAAAGACATTAGTTTAAAGAAAGTGAAATATTCGGAGAAGGGTAGAAAGAGAAAGCATCACTTCCAATCCATATTTAGTAACAAATATGTATGTATGTGTGTCTGTGTGTATGTGCATGTGTGTATGTGTCTGTGTCTGTGCATATACATATACATAGACATATATTTGCATATGATTATTTACAGAGAAAGTACAATAAATATTTGTAAGATCTGATAATGAAAGAGACGAATGTCTGAGAAGTAGTCCGCTATATCAGGAATGTTTTTTTTCCCTCTCTCTCTCTCTCTCTCTCTCCCTCTCTCTCTCTCTCTTCCTTAGAAAACAATTTTAGTATATATAGAACAGATGAATTAATGAATCATCAACAAATAATATTTATATAATTGATTAATATTACTTAAAATCAATTAAATGTTCAAATTATTAGAGTAATAAAAGAAAATAAAAAAGTGAGTTTATAATTTGAAGAGAGCAAAATTTATTGATAAATGAGAGAGGGAGAGAGAGAGAGAGGGCGAGAGAGAGTATTGATTGAGTGGTAATAGGATGTCTCAAATAAAACTTAAACAAAAAAAAAAGGATAAAAAAAGGAGATCAATAATTAATTAATTAATTCTCATTTATTAATCAGTCATCATTTTGTCTCATTCCACTCATCCTTTCCCGCCAATTTTAAAATTTAGTTTCATTTAAATTTGACGAAAATTGATTATTTGACAATCATTTATTTGTTGAGAAGCGTACGGATAGTTTAGTTGATAAATGGATAAAATTGATGGAAAGAATTTGCTTTAGTGAGAAATGCAAGCATTGCTATTTGACAATTTTGCTCTTTTCTTTTTTTTTTTTTTTTTCGTAAATGTATTATTGATATTCTTTTCTATAAATTAATTAAAATAAATTTCACGGAATATCATTTCAAAAATTTTTGATAGCTCTATCGTATTACTTAATGGATAACAGAGTAAAGAAGGTGTATCGTAGTGAATTATATGCAAATCAATCAGTAATAATAATATATCTCTAACCTAACAGTGTTAGTTTTGAATTGTAACATTCAAATTTAACTTTTTAAAATTCAAACTCAACTTTTTTTTTTTTAAAAAAAAAAAAAACTACAGCAACTAGACGCAATTTTTAGGTACTATATTTGCCCTTTGTTAGTACCTCAGAGAGAACTATCTCATTATTCTTATCATTCTGAAGAGTTTTACGTCTAATTGCATTTCCTGGATGTGATAATCATTTATCAAACTCTCCATTCTAACTTTTTGCAGTAGTATTTGAAACTGAACATAACATCACAATTATTTATTTATTTATTTTGTTGTTCAATTCATTTGGAATAATATGTGTGAAATGATTCGAAACTATCAAATTAATCAATAATGCATATAATCTCTTCAATCATTCAATGGGATTAACACATTACTTTCTAATGCTTTTATTTTTTCTGCAAAGTAAAACATAACAATTGGTTAGAATTTTACTTTAAAAAAAATAAAAATAAAAATAAATGAATAAAAGAAAAGAAGAAGAAAAGCAATTAGGAAGAGTAACAGAATTCAGTGAAATAAAAGCGTATCCCAGCTGTTCACAACACAAAATAATTTAATGCAATAAAAAAGTTGAAAAAGAAAAACCGAAGGACGAATGCGCCACTCTTGTATACAATACGGAAATATGTAGCTCACCAGCGCATTCCATAAAAGTAAGAACAAATTAATCAAGAAATTTGCAAATAATTTAAGTGATAAAATCATCCAATAAGAAAAGACCAAATAAAAGGCACAATTAAAGGGAAATTCTAAATTATGCCTAAATTGTTCTAAAAATCGAATGAAACAGGCAACTATAAAAGGTAAAATTATTGCTACAAATAGTATCAAAAAAAAAAAAAGAAATCATGGTTTTAAAATAGAAGGAATCATCTAAAATAACAACTGAAATTTAAATAAACAATGGAAGACTCTTCCTAAAATATGATGTAAAAAAAATAAAGGCAAGATAGGGTGATGATAGGGTGAATGATAATGAATGTATAAGATGAATGACAGTGATTCATTTATTATCTACATGATCAGCACCTACGATCAATATACTTCTTATGGGTTGGTCAAATCTTAATAAAAAAAATGTTGAGTCATAAAACATGCATGCAAAATTCGCCAAATTCGATTCAAAAAACTTTTAATTACTTATAAACTTATAAAATTACTTATTCATTATAAGAAATATAGCTAGTAAAGATAATAAACAATTAATTAGTATATTAAACAATAAGAATTATCCAACTATAAGTGTAAAACTTCTTTAGTCAGACAGCATGAGAGGAATTTATGTGAAAAATAATATAACTTATCGGTACAGAAAAGTTGTTCTAAGCTATCGCAAATAAGGCAAGTTAAAGGCCAGTATAGAAAAATACACCTTCAAAAATCGCTTAACAATCAACAATTAACGCTAATTGACAATTTCATTAAAGTTTTAAGCTTTATATAAAATTCAATTTACAAAAAAGTTTAGAACGGACCTCCGTTAATTTTAACTACTCAAATTGAAACAAAATTTTCTTGTTCAGTCAACTTGTGTTCCAAATGTAACCTCTCCAAAAAAATAAAAAAAGACCAAACAAAGAGGGAAGTTAACGAAATGGAATGATGCACTGGAAGGCTAATGAAAAATAAAACAATCCATTGTAGCTATCCATGAATTAACTGGTTGTGTTAACTTCTATATGGGTAAACCAGCCATTTCATATTGAATAAAAAAAATTCCACCAGCTTTCTCATGAGCAGTAAAAATTAAGGAATAAAATTTTAAATCATTTTCCCTTGGACTATAAAATATGAAGAATGTAAAATCACAGTGATGAATTTAAAAATCAACTGCATGAACTACTATATAAGAAATAAAAAATAAGTCATAAATTTTGTATTCACAATATAATTTGATTTTTGTAACTGGCTGTGAGCTCCTTATATGGTAAAACAATGGAATTAAGAATAACTGTTTCAGCAGGAACATGAACGTCTGATCCAAGAATAGTTAATGATGGATTAAGACGACCATCAGTATTGAACAACGGTTTATTGTCTAGTTTAGCAAATGGAATATTTGGATTTGGTGAAATTGGTGTACCTTCTACACGTGCCCATGCACCAACAACACTACGCCAACCAATTACTGAATGTAATATACAAGCATGCTCATTGATTATTGCTTCAGCTAGAACAATAGTTTCACGAATACGAACACCAGCTGCAATTTTTGCTTTCGCACCAATACTCACATTTGGACCTATTTTTGCAGTTGGATCAATCTGCAAACAAAATTTATTCAAAAAAAAAAAAGCTTTACCATCTAAAGCATAAATAAGGAAATCAGTAAAGAAATAATTCCATGATAATTTTGAAAATTATTTGAAGATACTTAAAGAACTTCATTGTTTTTAACCTGCACATGTAAAACATGACTGAATGATTGCGCAAAATTGTATAACATATTTTCAGAATTTTCAAGTAAATTGTGAATAGCTGAAGTTAAGAGATCCTAATCAATTATAGTTTTAATCATAATTCTCTTTAACAGATGCAATATCCTAAGTATTAGACCAACATCACGATCTATTCCTACTACTGTATCCATGAAAAGCATATTATGAATGATTATTAACTGAAGCAAATATACTAAATTAGTAAGCACTAACTTCAGCAGTTGGATCGATGAAGACATCGCCAATGATCTGCGCTCTATCACGGCACAGCCGTGATGGATCGGAAACATGATATAAACGCAAATAATGACGATTTGCATAAAGTACTGCACTGAAAGAAGATATTACTCTTAATAAATGATATGATTTATATAAATACATAAAGAAAAACAGTAAAACTTTATTCAGCAACTTCATTAATCATTTCTTAAAATATAAACCGTACGCAGCAGTTTTTGTCTGACTCCACCAACGTTTCGTTTTCAAAGCATAGAGTACAGATTCTGAAGCCATCTGTGGAAAAACTTCTGTTTCAAACCAAACCTAAAGCCTTTGAAATCTGATTGTTGAACTAAGTCTTTAAACAGAAATAAATCTCAAAAGCTAGGCTTACCTCAAATCAAGAAATACTAAAAAAAAATGGGAGAAAGTCCAGAAATACACAAGTTTTCCACCAGACTTAATTTCAACAATAAACTTCCTGCTTAAATATATATTCTTCAACACAAATTTGAATGATATTTAACAAAGTAAAAAGTAAATATCTACACGTAAATATCTTTTTCAAGTTCTTTATTATGTCTTTTAACGTAATAAGTAAACACTGCATAAAATATGCGGTGGTTTATCAACATAATGAAGAACCTGAAAAAGATGTTTACTTTTAACAAAATGAAAATTTGCTAATCTAAGATAAAGTATGCATACTTGCTTTGTATCTGTATCTGAACAATTGTACGCTTTACCAATTCTTTCAACAACAATTGCGCGTAACAAGTAAACACCGCATGAAATATGTGGTGATACAAAAGTTGTTGGTTTATCAACATAATGAAGAACCTGAAAAAGATATTTACTACTTTTAACATAATGAAAATTTGCTAATCTAAGATTTGAAAATTCTACACTGACAGAAATTTGGCAAAAAATTTGTATATTTTATCTTTTTGTTAATATCTCTTTGAAACATTCAATATATTGTCAAAAGAATTTCGATTGCAATATCAGTTCAATAGTTATTACATCATTACTCTTTTACAGATTGTTAACCTTGCCATTCGAATCGATTACAACAGAACCATAATTAATAGATTGTTCGCGAGTAGCCTCGGTTGTGAGTAATAATCCATGAGCATTCTGTTTCATTGCTAATTCATAAGCCATTTCGGCAATTGGCAAATCACCACAAACATCAGCGTTAAGCACAAATAGTGCATTTGGATTATTCTCAAGTAAAATTGATCGAAAATGATATAAACCACATGCTGTACCTAATGCTTCAGGTTCTTCCAAATATCTAAAAGCACAAAAATTGGTGTTATCATCGATTTTCACTCAAAGAAATCGAAAGATCAATTGTGTAGTAACTAAAATTGAGATATTTCCCTTTTTATAAAAACGACTTAAACCGAATCTCAATGATAACTTCCTCTTTTTTTGCCTGAATTTTTTTCAAAGATGAGCGGTGCTGGTAAGTGATTTTGAAAATGGAGGAGAATGCGAAAATGAACTTAATCTCATGAAAGCAGCAAGAATTTGAAATTTACATACGCTTATGCATCACATTCACAAATATTATCATAATAAAAGATGTAAATGAATAATAGAAACCTACCTAATTTTAATGCTATATGTTTCCGTACATTTTTGAATGAAATCGTAAAAATATTTTGCCGGATAGAATCCGATCAGATAAATTTCCGTTATAGAAGCCAACTAAAACTAAAAACTAATATCAATTTAAAAAGTTTTTTTTCACATTGTTACAAAAATCCAAAAATTTAAAAGAAAAACATTCAAAAAATAAAAAAATGGAAACAGACATCAAAAATATATGGTATATGCAAGTGCATATGATAACAATATTTGTGTTTTATTTAGACAGTAATTTCTAAAATATCTCAAAGATAATGTTCAAGATGCACATTGTTATATTTTCCTGAACATTTTCACAATAATCAAATACAAAACAGTAATACTAAAATTTGCCTTTGAAAGTTGCTCAATATGATGTTCGATGAGTGGTACTCCAGCAATCGGAAATAAAGGTTTCGGAAGTTGTAGTGAAAGTGGACGGAAACGTGTACCTGAATACAAACGTACGAGGATAGGTCAGAGACGAAGTGGACAACGGGAAACAGCATATGCAATTAGTAGAACTGGTAAAAATAAGAAAATAGCATAGAGCAAAATAAGAGCCAAACTTGCGAGTAGCATTTGACTTGAATTTCAAAAAATTTCCATTTACTATAATGGATGACAATAGGAAACTTTAATTTGGCCTACCTTTTTGTTCACCACCAACCAGAACGACAGCTTTCAAGGACATCGTCATTGATGTCGTCAATTGCGCATCGTCCCAATCTGATCGGAACATTGACCTCAATTTTTAGATCTAATAACTAGTGTCAGGAAATTTCTTCAAAATAAGGGACATGTAACATAGATCAAATAAAATCAGTGATCAGTGAGGAAAAAAAAAAAAAAAAAAGCATACAAGCGAAATTATAGTGAGAAATGCGAATTCTGCGAACAATTCAAAAAATGAAGAGAAAAAAAAAATAAAAAATAAAATGATGTACGCTTTTTTAGTAAAACAAAATTGCTTAATTTTGATTATGTCAAATGCCATACTGCTTTAGTATTACCTCTTGAATTGAGAAATAAGCACTTCCTGTACTTTTAAAGTTTGAAGTATAATCTAGCAAGTGAGAAATAAACGAAAATTTGAAACATTAATTTGAATTCAAGTCAATCGGAATGGATTGATAGAAATCGAATAAGCTAGTTAGCTATAAAATAGAGCAAAAAAATGTGAAAAAAAATCCCATCATTCTCAACTGATCAGCAACTATTGTCGAGTTGAATTTAATTATATATTCAAATCAAATCAGCTGGAACAAATTATGTAAATTCTATTGAACGTTTGAGATTAAATTCTATTTACTGTAGAAGAAATAGAAATTGAAAATGAATTATTTACAAGTTACAGCTACCATTTCTTTATAGCATAAATGTAGTCAGCTAAAAAAGAATAAATGAAAAAAAACGTAAATAAGATTAACTTTTAATTTGTCACCGAATATATAGGATTTGACTTATGAGACCTAGGTAATCTAAAAAGGTCAAGTAATAAAAAAAAAAATAAATAAATGGATCTCTCTTACAGTAGAAATTATCTAGTTTATGTAAATAAATTCAAATGATAATTTAAAAATGAATTGTTTATTTAGCTTTTGACTAGGTGGAAAATATAAAAATAGAAACATTATTACAAGTTTTATCTATTAGCAGGAAAATATTATTAGCTCAACAGCTTAATAACCGAATTAATAACAGTGCGATAATTGAGGAAAAATTATGGTAAGAAGTCTGGGACTTATCACCATTTTCTTTTTTTCTAGAAAAATGTAAGAGGCAGTTGCAAAAGTTGCTAAATAAAAGAAGAAATATAGAAAATACATCGAACTAATTTATAGATCATGTAAGTTACATTCTTTTACCCTGCTAGAAGGGAAGAATTACAGAATAATTGGGAGAGATTATCCTTGTAATAAAGGTAACCACATAAAGGGAAATATCAAATGTTAGCTTTTGAATGCAGACCGATAATCACCAACCCAGGCAACTTACGAAGTGAAAAAGAAAAAACCATATGCCTGTGAGGCATTGCAAAAAATAGCTCAGAACCAATTTTCTTGTTAAATTAAATGAACTTCGAATGATGCGATATCCATTGTTATATTCATTACTTTTTCCAGAAAATTTCAAAAAACGCAGGAAATTGTGTACTTCAATATAGGCATAAAAACCACTACATGCAATGTATTTCATTGAAAAAACTAATATCACAGAACTTTTTATTGCAGTAACGATAAACCATAAAACAGAGTTGTAGTTCAATAAATAATGAGGGAAATAGGCCCACATACAAAAAAATGGCTTACTCATAAAAGAAACAACTCATTCATAGAGAGAGTAGGAAAGGAACATAAATGAAAAAAGCTAAAGTAAATGACCGCTTTAGTAACGAGCTATAAAAAAATAACAAAAAAAAAGCGAGAATTCCCAAGAAAAAAAGGGAATATTATTCATGGATTCTTGTTATTCAGAATCCGAAGCAGAAAGACAGGAAATTAGTATCCGGATGGCTGCAACGGAAAGCGCATATGATGCAAAGGCTGTGTACCACGTGCAAATGGATTTGGAGCACCTGGAGTGGCCGCACCAAATGGCATCGTTGGTGGTAGACCAGTGACAGGATGTACACTGGCTGCAGCTGGTGAATTACGCTCAAAACTACCAAGAGGTGCGATTGACGATGGTGGAGGAGCTATCGATTGAGGTGGCATACCTGAAAAGTAAAATGTTAACTGGAGAACAATGACTGCTGAATTAATCAAGTAAAAGCGAACAAAAAAAGAAGACATACCCCCAGACCTAATGGGACCTGATGCTAAGATCTCATATTATGATTTTATTATTAACTTCAGATTTGGTATTATCTCTCACGAATTGTTTTAGCTTAAAATTACTCCACACGAGCATTTATTCTGTTACATCTCAGCATTACTTGCTTTCCACAATCCGGCACTATTTTCTGCAAAGGAATTCTAAAAAGGAATTAGATTCCACTACTAGAAGTATGCAAACAATAAAAATACTCGATTGTAAACCTGGTTTTGCTACTGCTGGACTGAAATTCTGAAGAGTTGCTGGGTTTGCTGAATAAGGCATCTGAGGCGGAGTTTGCGACTGCATCACAGCACTGGTCATCTGCGTACCGAAAGAAGTTGGTGGCGCATCGAATCCGGAAGTCGGTGGTAAGCCAGAACCTGGCATCGACGATGTTGGTGGTGGCAGTGTACCAGGCATATGCGCTGACGATACCTGTAGTGGTATCGATGGTACCTGTGACGGTACCTGTTGAGGTGGGTGCGGTAATGCATTAGCAATGCTTGTCATATTGCCAAACGGTTGTTGCTGATGATATTGTTGTTGTTGTTGTTGCTGCTGCTGCTGTTGCTGTTGCTGTTGCGGTTGCGAAACTGAGACACCATATGATGGCATGTGCTGGCCTAAAGTTGGCATACCAAAGCGATATTCCGACTGTGGAGCAGAAACTGGCGCATTTGGTTGTTGCTGACCGAAAGCATTCATCATCGGTTGCTGTGTTTGAATTGGCAACGGCGGTACTCCAGTTTGCAATAGACCTGCTGGTGCTGATGGCGCCAAATGAGATGAAACGGCTTGAGGTAACGAATTCGGAGCCGAAACAGGAGGAATACGATCAACCGTTTCTGAAAAAACAATTTACTTGGTTTACTAACGTATCAGTCTCCATATTGCAAAAGTTTATATTTTTTCCTATAAGCATAAAAATATAATATAATCCGAACATCTCTTCGCATTTTAAAAGTAATAGAATCTGCTAAAAGCTTTACAGAAATTATGGTAATTCCAACTAATTTAAAAACAAAGAAAAAAGGAAAACGAAATTACCATGTTGTGCAGGAGGAAATGACGAAGTTATGAGATGGGTACTCGATGATATATCAATTTCAGTATTTGGTTCACTATGTGAACCTTCTCTTGATGATGTTGAGTGTCCGACTGACTGTGAATTTTGAATATCTGGGATAGTTGGCGGCAATGATATACCATCCATCAGCTTTTTATGAACAGCATCTTTGCTTGGTGAATCAATTTTAGCCGAAAGAGGTGCACCATAAGTAGATGTTAAATTATTTACCTGGAATTTATCCAGAAAATTTTGCCGAACAATAGAAACAACTTCAAGATTTCTAAAGCAGTAAAACGATGTCAAAAAATAATTTTAAGGACCTGTTAGAACTTTAAACATTGTGTAGTTTCAATATAGGAAATAAACAAAAAAACAACGTTGTTGTGGTTAAGTTCCATTAAAAGTTTAATGTGTCAAATTTCAGAATAACCAACACCACATATGGAAAATCAGACTTTAGTAACTGCAATAAAAGCAGCAAAACTACCTGTTCATGGACAGATGGCTGTATTGTTGCAACCGATTCGCTATTTTTCATCAAACTATCAGTGGTGCATTCTCTGATAACTTCACACTTATTCATTTTGGTAATCTTAATTGCCTTCAATGTTTCCAGAACGGAAACAGCTGTATCACGTACCATTTCTAATTCATCCTCTAATCTAAAATTAAGCAAATTAATATCGCCTTTTCTTCCAATTCTCATAACTAAAGAATTACTAATCCTTCTAATCCGATGAAAATATGTTTGACAGACAATTATCTAATAAATAAACCCGTATCCTAGCATTCAAATATGTCCCATTTCTGACCCATCTTTTATAACCAATTGAGAGAGCTTTTTCTGAAAAAAAAAAAAAAAAAAAAAAACTAAGTGACAAACGACTGCTTTCCCTGAACTAATTTTTAAGTACAAACATCACACTTCCTCCTTCTCTCCCTTTCCCAGCTTATTTGATACTTTTATCCTATAATTTATCTATTTTTATAAGTAACATACTATTCATGCTACTTATAAAAATAAATTCTTAAAAAACTTGATTAATTATTCAAATAAGTCTTATGCTGTGTTTTAAGACAGCTACTTACTTCATTATTTGAGTAGAATCAGTTTCATCACTTAAAACGATTATCGAAAGTTTCGTTTCCGTTTGAAGTGCTAGTAACAAATCGGTATCATCTGCCAAAGTTATATAATCACCATCTGTAATATCAGTGTAAATCAAGATAAACAATCGATGCGAAATACTACGATTAAATTCTCCAATGTAGCTCAAACATTAACTCAGTTATTTAAAAGTTAGCAGACAAATTTAAGCTTGAACAGCTAAAGTCCTGCAGCTTAAAAAATGATTGTGAAGAAAGCTTCGATCATTTTCGTAAACTGCTGCAAGCACTCGTATAATTTCAAAATATTTATGTCAAAATTTATTCAACCTTCATCCTTATATTTCAACGATATGTTAGTTGAACTTTGAAGCTTGAATATTCGTTGCATCATTAAAACAAGATCGTTGTAAGACATGTCATCACTATGATGGATAGTCATTTTACGCACGTCGCTCCCGTATCGTGCTTTCAATGTCGTTGTAACTACTTTACCATTTGATACCATTTTCTGCAAATATACTGCTTGAGTTTTACAAATTCCAAAAGTCCTATCTGATGCAACGGTAACACAAAAACATGATGAGAGAATTTTTACTTTATCGTATAGGAGATAGAAGAATGGCGGTACGGGGAATAAACCCAATTCTTTTATTTTGAATGGAGCTTATACTTTGAATAATTTTCACGCAAATTGATCATTAAAAAGTAAAAACGAATCTCTTCATCCATCATTGAAGAGTTTATGGTGATGTGGAGATCATAAATTAAATAGTAAATAATTAGAAAAAAAAAAAAAAAAAAGCAACAGAATGTCTTTGAGAAAAAAAGCAGTTAATCAGCAAACACATCGAGCAACCTATAAAAGAGTTAAAAAAGAAAACGGACTCAAGGTATTACTAAGAAAATAATAACAACTATAATAATACTTTTCCCTGAAAAAAAAAAAAAAAAAAAAAGAAAATAAGATAATTACAGCAATCAATAAGATAACATGAAACACTGCGTAAAAAAAAAAATAAAAAAAAAACCACACAACTGACCATAAAAATGACAAATTGATTTTATTTTTATTTATTTACAAAAATAAAAAAAAGAAAAAAGTATATAGAATACCGATTGACCTTTGACCTAAATTATATTTAACTAAAACTCTCGACTGACTCATTAAACCATACAGCGACAGTCTCGCCCTTTCACTTCCACGTCAACTGTCCAATAAATTAGTCCATCACAAACAGTCTACGCTATGAAAATGATAATCTCTCATTGAAATATTTAGTAAGACTAAAATATTTTTGAAACTACATTTTAGATCATATAGTAAATTTAATATAATCAAAATTTTGTCTTATATTAATTCTTTAAAATATCAAAAAAAAAAAAAAAAAATAATATAGACTTTTGATCATACACAGCAAAAAGCAGCTTTTTTATAAAAAAAAAAAAATCATTTTGTTAAATTCACCAAATTTTTACACCACCATTTCTATTTTATAATTAATTGACTTTTTTTTTTGTTTTTAATTAGTAATATTTAAATTATCGTCAACTTGAATGAATTTTTTGAATCAGATTTAAGATATTATTTCAGTTTTAAGCTACTTGGCTTCTTGAGCTAAATCTTGTTTAACTAACTTTTAACTAAAAATATATTTAAAAAAAAAAAAAACTTACTAGGTAAAAAAAAAAAAAAAGGTGGAAGAAATCTTGTGATGCTGATTTTGATTCTATAATAATTTAAATAGTTGAGAAATTAAAACTATCAACTAAACATAATTAATTATCATTTTAACAGATATTAATTAACAAACGGATAAACATTCTCTTTAATTTTTTATATAATTCAAACACTATTAATTTTTCATTCGAACAATTAATGCAAAGTTTGTTTTATCTTATCATAAATTTTAATTAATTTATCTTATATCATTAACATTGAGGAGAAATAACATACTAATATATCATTTAATTCTAAATGTTAATTTTAAACTAATTTCAGATTAATATTTTAAATTGCACAAAGTATAAGTTTTTTTTTTTTTTTTTTATTTCTTATTTTTTATTTCAAAATTTTAATTTTTAACCATATTAAAAAATCGAATAATATTTGAAAGTTTAATGGTTAAAAGGAAAATGTTATTAATTCAAATTTAGATTGTACATTTTTTGAGGAAGAAAAAATCCAATTTAATCGATGAAATTGTTTACATCCAAGATAGTAACTCTATGAGAAATGTAAATTTGTAATTTATAAAGATGAAATTATTTTTGTTATAATTATACAAATAAAGTTTTAATTGTATATGAAAAATAATTTAATACAGTTAATATTAAATTTATTAATATTAATTTAAATAAATTGCGATTTTCTTATAGAAGAAAGAAGAGTAATCGTTAAAAAGTAATTTTAAGTAAATATCAAATTCTCATAGAATTACTGTCTTGAAAGTAAACAATTTCATAGCAATTAAATAAATCAATAATTTTTCTCATCTTGCAAATAACTTTTAAATAATTTATCTCATATTATCAATATTTCGAATAAATGACATATGATGACATATAATCTTATTGATTTCCAATTTTTACTTCCTATTTAATTTAAGAATTTAAAAATAAAAAAAAACATATCAACGTAGCCAATTTATATTACAAAAAAAAAAATTAGTACACTTATTGAATATTTGTTGAAAATTTTTTTTTCAAAAAAAACATTTAAAATACTTTGTACTCTTTAAAATATATTCACACTTAATATTATTGGTTAAATTTAAAATTTAACTAATAAATTAACAATTTAGATTTGATATTAATTCCAAATTCAAATCTCTTTTACAAATAATAATTTTTCATTTCTTTCAAATATTTTATTTATTATTTGTAGCAAAATTTCGATAAATTTTATATTAAAAAAAAAATAAAAAGGAATGAGAAAAGATTAAAAAAGGATAAAAGATTAAAATGATGTTAATTAGAGAATGATAATAATTAGAAATAAATGTGAAAGCCATGGCAACCAATTAATATAAAATGTTAAGTTAAAGTGTATATAGCATAATGTGCAAATCATTATTTCATTTTTCTTTTTTTCAAAATTTTCATCATTAAATGTTTTATTTTTTTGAATAAATAATCAATCTATCATTCATTCCTTTTTTTCTTTCTTTTAAAATTTAAAATTTTCATATTTTTAGAAAATTTTTAAATCTTTACAAAAATTAATTCTCATTTTATAATTTTATCAAATTAATAAATGTTGAAATTAAAGTATGATTGTTTTTATTAATAATTATTTATGTTTCATTCATTTATTTTCGTAATTTTGCTAGTGAAGTAAATGATTTCAAAATGATTTGAAAAGAATTTTTAATTTAATTCTTTAAGTCATATTTGAATTGTTTGTTAAAAATAATTTAGTTTAATTTAGTATATAATTTAGTTTCGTTTTTTTTTTTTTTTAAATATATAATTTAATGATTTAGTTTTCTATTTTACTTAGTAATTTAGTTTTCTACTTCCTTTATTTATTGATGTTTTTTTTTTTTTTTCTACTTAGTTGAATTAATGGATTGAATTGTATGATAATTATATACAAAATAAAATAACTCAAATAATTATTAACTCTTACTTATCGTTTATATTTGATGTTAGTTTATTTTAACAATTCATTAAGCTGACCAATGTTTAAATTAATTTTTCTTTGAAAATCTTTCAAGTTATAGCTTGCTAATACATATTTGATTTCAGAGCAAAGTTAAAAATTAAATTTTATAATTAAAAAATTTGCAATTGTATTAATCATAAACTATCTAAACTTTTGCCTAAAATCATCCGTTTATTAGAATTTAGTCAAATTTTTTAATTGATAAACTTTGTTTTTTTTTTTCCCAATTAGTTTACTTTGCAACAATTTCAAATTTTTTACTTTTAAAGATAAAAAAAAAAAAAGTAAATTACTTTTAAAGTTATAAAAAAAGAAAAAAACAAAATATTATGTAAATTGCATCAATTAATGTTTTAATTTATTTAACTTATCTTAATTCATAATTAATGATTAAATAAGTTGACATCTTCTTAATTTCCAACAAATATCTTTTCTTCTCTTTTTTTTTTTTTTTTTTTTTGTCTTAAATTTTTATGAATTTTAGATTATTAATAATTTTTAGAAAGTTCAATTAATAATTGAAGTGAAAAAAAATTTTTTTTTTTTTTAACATGAAGCGTTATATGATAATTTTTGTTATCAGGTGTGAAGAATGATGGAAGAGAATGATAATTTGATAATAAATAAAAAAGATACGTCCAATTTGATTGACAAATTATCAGTGATAACTGAAGAAAGTGTAGTGGAAAAAATTGAAAAAACTAAAGATGAAATGGGCAATCAAAAATTTTATCAAAGTGATATGCAAATGAATGAATTAACTGTAAAAGATATCAGTGAAGATGATGATGAACAATTAAAATTATCAGATAATATGAAAGAAAAACTTCATACATTAACTGGTAATATACGATGTCGTACTTCACAGGTAATAGAACTAAATTATCATTTAAAAATCTCTTATTTTTTTTTTCCTGATAAATTAAGCTAATTTTTGTGATCAATGTAATTAACTTTTGATATGATCATGAGCATTTATTCAAATCAAAAAATTAAATTCCAAATTTTTATCAGTAATTTATTTCTGTAATTAAATTTTTCATCAAAAAAAAAAAAAAACTAATTTTTGAAATTGACAAATACAAAGTACCAATATTGATTGATGTTAAAATTATCAATTATCATAATAAGTATTAAATTAGTGTTTGATTTTTTATTTTAAACTGTAAATAAATTATATTTAAATGAATAGATGATTGATGAAATAATGCAAGAATCGGATGATGACGAGAAATGCTCAGAAAATATTGAAATTGCAACTAGAAAAGAACATCGTCCAAGTTTAATGTCACTGGTTGGACTTCAAGTTAGTACTTAAAATAATTAATTTTAAACCTAATTAATTATTTTAGCTAAAAAAAAAAAAAAAGAAAAGAAAAAAACAACTAATTTTCTTCATTGTTTACAAATATAAATGAATGACTGTTTAAAAAATAAAAATGAAAATATAAATATTTTCATTTTTTAAATTTTTAAAATTTAAAAAAAAAAATTTTTTTTTTTTTTTTTTTTTAGCGAGGAATATCACCTGCAAGTGATAAATGTACAAATAAATCCAAAAGTTATTTACGACGAATCTTTCTATCATCCATCAATCCATTTCGTTTGTTTATTATTTATTAATAATAAACAAATTTAATTATTTGCTTTCATTATTTCAAGAAATTCAATCATTGCTTTGTTGTGAATTGAACAGAAAAAAAAAATGCGTAAAATTTAAAAAATTTTTACAATAATTCTTTCATCTTTAGCTACTTTTTTTCATATAAATGATTAATTCTAAAATTATACTAATTAGAACTAATAAATGAAATTATAATTATATACGTACATGCTAATTATTTGTAATTTAAATTGTCAAATTTTTTGAATTTAAATTATCAAATTTGACAAATTTTGTTTACTTTTTAAAGCTTCTCCATATCATAACCTATTTTCAAACTTTTATTCACTTTATAATTTTCAGATCGAGAATATTTAATTTGGTTGACAATAGTGGTGACAGCATTTCTCTACAATGCCTTCGGTATTCCATTACGAAGTTCTTATCCATATCAAACAAAATCAAATTTAATTTATTGGCTTATCACTGATTACATTGCTGATAGCATATATTTAATTGATATGCTATTCATTAAGCCAAGGCTTCGTTTTATGAGTGGTGGACTTCCGGTTGTAAGTAATAAATTTTATAAATATTGAACAATAAATTTAAATTTAAAATATGCATCAAAGAGAGTGAGAGAGAGAGAGAGAGAGAGGTAAATATTGATGTATAACTCATATTTACTATTTTTGATTACATTTATTTAATTAATATAAATAAAATATATCCATATAAATATTTTATAAAATAAAATATACAAATATGTAAATTAAAATTTTTGTATTTACAAAATTTAAATTTATTTAGTCTAAAATTTTATTTACTTATACCATAAAATATTTGTTTTTTTTTTTTTTCTTTTTTTGTTTAACATATTATTCTATGGTACATAACTTCAGCTTTTATTTTTTTATAACTTTATTTATTTGTCATATTTTTTATACTAAGTTATTTATAAATTAATTTTTGTATTTATTTCAATTAATGAATTTATTTGAAAAATTTTCTTACTCAGAAAGATATAAAAGAAACAATAAAACATTATGTGCACAGTAATGATTTCAAATTTGACTTACTTTCATTAACACCACTTGATATTATGTATATTTGGACTGGACCAATTGCTGCATGGCGTGCTATACGTATGTTTAAGGTAAAATTTTAATATAATTTCAAAATTTTTAAAATTAAAAAATTTTTTAAATGATTGTTTATTATCATTTTAGTAAGTAAATAAATAAGATTAAAAAATTTTTTAAATGATTGTTTATTATCATTTTAGTAAGTAAATAAATAAGATTAAAAAATTTTTTAAATGATTGTTTATTATCACTTATTAAGTAAGTAAATAAGAGTAAAAAATTTTTTAAATGATTGTTTATTATCATTAGTAATTAATAAATAAAAAATTTTTTAAATGATTGTTTATTATCATTTTAGTAAGTAAATAAATAAGATTAAAAAATTTTTTAAATGATTGTTTATTATCACTTATTAAGTAAGTAAATAAGAGTAAAAAATTTTTTAAATGATTGTTTATTATCACTTATTAAGTAAATAAGAGTAAAAAATTTTTTAAATGATTGTTTATTATCATTTTAGTAAGTAAATAAATAAGATTAAAAAATTTTTTAAATGATTGTTTATTATCACTTAGTAAACAAATAAATATTTCATTTATTAGATTATATTGTTTTTTTTTTTTCGTTTTTGTTGTGATATTTTTTTAATTTTAGCTTCCATCATTTTGGCAATTATTCAGTTTGTTGGATAATTCAGTTTCAAATCCATACATAATTAGGTATTAAAGTTTGATTCAATTTTAAAATAATTTAATTTATTGCATTATGTTAAAATCCAAAATATTATTTTAAATTATAAATATTCAATGTGAATTAAACATACAAATTATTAAAATTATGTAAAATTTTCTGTTTTTTTTTTTTTTTGGGAATTTTTTTGGGAATATCAGAGTTTATTTTTAATTAGTTTGCAGAATAACAAAAACACTTGCATATATGATTTATTTAATTCATTGTAATAGTTGTGTGTATTATGTGTTGAGTGCTTGGCAAGCTTTTGGGCAAATTGCTTATAGAATGAATAATAAATGGTACCTCAATAAATGGGTTTATAATAATCAAGGTAAGTAAAATATTAAAGTAAAATAAGGTAGAATACTAATAAAATATGTTAATAATAATATTTTATTATTTAAAAAGTTTTTTAAATAATGCAAATTAATTATAATAAAATTTAAACATATAAAAGATAAAATTAATTTAAAGATTATAATTAAATTATTGTTTTCTTGATAATTATAGGTAAACAAACACATAAAAGATAAATTAATTCAAAGATTATAATTAAATTATTAATTTTTTGATAATTACAGGTTAATAATAATTTTATAATAATAATATAAATATTTATTTCAGGAAATGCTTATATTCGATGTTTTTATTTTACAACAGCCGTAGCAACATCAACCGGTAATAATCCGGCACCAACAAATGTTGTTGAATATATTTATATGACATTCTCCTGGATGATGGGTGTTTTTGTTTTTGCTTTATTACTTGGACAAATAAGTTGCATTTAATTTATACATTTAATTTTAAAAATTTATAAATTTTTTTTTTTTTTTAATTTTAATAATTTTGAAAGAATTTATTATTCAAATATTATTTGCATCAAACAATAAAATCATTCCAGCATTTTTTTGTTAATTAGGCAGTATTCAAATTTATTTTACTAGCTAATAATAGATTGATCGAAATATTTTATTAGTTGAAGCAAATTTTTATTTAAATTTATTATTCAACTTTTAAATTTCACAATAAAATTTGTAGTATGGAAAATATATTTGAAGTTGAATTAATTCTTTAGATTCGAGATATTGTTTCAAATGCAAATCGTAATCGTGAACAATATCGTAAAACTGTAGATCAAGTATTAAGCGAATGTAAACGACTTGGTCTATCCAAGGATACAATCGATCGTGTTCGAGATTGGTTTGTTTATACTTGGCAAAAGCAAAAAACTTTAGGTTTGTTATAAAGTTAAATTTATTTAAAATTATAATTAAAGTTAAATTCGTTTTAGTTTGTTTACTTAAATTTATTCAAAATTATAAACAGAATTAGATTTGTTTTAGTTTGTTTACTTAAATTTATTCAAAATTATAAATGAAATTAAATTCGTTTTGGTTTATTTACTTAAATTTATTCAAAATTATAAATAAATTTAGACTCATTTTAGGTTGTTTACTTAAATTTATTCAAGATTATAAATAGAATTAGATTTGTTTTAGTTTGTTCCAAAGTAAAATTTATTCAAAATTATAAATAAAATTAAATTTATTATTCAAAATTATAAATAGAATTAGATTTGTTTTAGTTTGTTCCAAAGTAAAATTTATTCAAAATTATAAATAAAATTAAATTTATTATTCAAAATTATAAATAGAATTAGATTTGTTTTAGTTTGTTCCAAAGTAAAATTTATTCAAAATTATAAATAAAGTTAGAATTTTTTTTTTTTTTTTTTTTTTAAATTATCTAATCTTTGCATCATTTTTTTATAACAATTGAAATTAATATTAATTCGATTAAATAAATCTAAATTTATTCTCATAAAAATATTTACATGAAAATTTCAATGCTCTATTATTACTGCTATATAAGTAATTTTCAGACGAAAAAATATTGATTGAAAAGCTACCATTGAAATTACAAACAGATTTAGCACTTTCAGTTCATTATAATACTCTCAGTAAAGTTCAACTTTTTCAGGTTTTTATTTTTTTTTTTTTGTTGAATTTTTTTTTGAATTTGTAAAATTTTGTCATACAACAATCAAATTATAATTTTATAAAACAAATAAAAAATTGATTTTCAAAAAAAAAAAAAAACTATTTTTAAGTATTATTATTGTATTTTTTTTTACATCCACATATTTTTATCATTTTTTTAAACAGTTATGATAATTTTTTTTTTTTAAATAAAATTTTGAACATTTTGAAAGGATTGTGATCGAGCATTACTTCGAGAATTAGTGCTTAAACTTCGACCAGTAATTTTTCTTCCTGGTGATATGATTTGTAAAAAAGTAATTTCAACTTTTTGTTTTTTTTTTTTTTTTTTTTTTTTTTCGTTGATATCATTTTAATATGATAATATAAAACGAAAATTCAACAAAAAATTAATAAAAATTTATTTAATAACAGATAACTGTTATTTAAAGTTACATGAAAATATAAATTAAACAATTGACTAATTTTTTATTTTATTTATTATCATAAAAATTTCTTTAAATTTATTTTATTTTATTTATTAGCAATGAAATATTAATGATTAATCTAGTGATAAAATTTTAAAATAAATTATTAATTCATTTTTTTTTTTTTTTTTTTTGCTATAATTTCATTTCTTTCCTACTATATCTTTTTCTTTTTTTAAAAAAATTAATTCATTTTTTATAATATATATTTAATAACTCTTTTTTTTTTAATATAATAACTAAATAAATTATTTTATTAAATTTTAAGGGTGATGTTGGGAAAGAAATGTATATTGTCAATGATGGAATCCTTCAGGTTGTTGATGATGAAGAAAATAACAAAGTTTTTGCTGAACTTACTGAAGGATCAGTTTTTGGTGAAATTAGGTTATTCAAATTAATATCAAATTTTTTTTTTAACTCTTTTAAAATAATATAAATTTATTGTTATTTAGCACAATTCTTTTGTCAAATTATAAATTTTTGTTTTTTTTTTTTTTAAATTTATTTTAATTTTTACTTTCTTTTTTTAATTCTTATGTGAAATTTAAAAAAAAAAAAAAAATGTAAAATTTTTTCATACTTAATTCTTTAGTTTATTAGCAATCGGTGGTAATAATCGTCGAACAGCAAATATTCGTTCAAAAGGTTATTCAACATTATTTGTTCTCTCAAAAGAAGATTTAAATGATGTTATCAAAGATTATCCGGATGCGCAACAATTGTTAAGAAAAAAAGCTAGGTAATCAATCTTCTCTTTCTTTCCCTCTCTCTCTCTCTCTCCCCTCTCCCTCTCCCTCTCCCTTTCTCTTTCCCTCTTTTGTTTGAAATATTTCAATTTATGATTTATATTTGATATATTTCATTTAACAAAAAAAAAAAATTGTTAATTTTATTATCAAATAATTTTTATTCATTAATAAATTTTATTTTATTTTATTATTTTTTTTTTTTTTTTTTGCAGAGAAATGTTGAAAAAAGATGAAAAAGTGAAGAAAGAGAAATTTTCAATGCAAAATAATTATAAGAACATATCAACGAATATTAATACAACAAAATTTGTAAATACAGTAATGGAAGTAATTTCATTAAATTCACCAAATGTCAAACAATCGATGTTACCTGGTAAACATTTGAAATGTATTTTAAAAAAAAAATTGAAATATATTTTTTTTTAAAGAAAAAAACAAACAAAAAAAAAAAAAAATTTTATTAAAATACATTTAAATTATTTTCCTTCTCAAAATTTTGTTTATTTGCTAATAATTAAATCAAACATATATGTTTATTTTACCAGTTTATATTGCAGAAGATGATAAAACATCGAAAATACGACAGAATAATGCAGTAGAAATTGATGAATTTGATAATATGTAATGGAATAATAAATGATTTCAAATGAGTAAAATTTCGATTTTGAATTGTTAAAATGTACTGCAATTAATTTTTATTAATTTTAATAATATAAACTATTTAATTAATACATTTTATTTATTCACTTGCTAGAATACAAGCAGAAATATACAAATTCTTTTAAAAAATTTTGGTAAAAATTATATTAATAATCCATGAGTTATTATAAAAAATAAAGTTTTTATCACAGTTAAAACGAAACATTTACAAAATGCTAATTTTTAGAATGAATTTAAAGTTATATTACATATACATACATACATTCAAATATATCAATGATAAAATGATAAAGGTGATAAAAGTGATTGGAAGAAATGAACAATGTTATTAATTAGAAGTGAAAAAAAAAAAAAAAAATCATACTTTTGATAAATAGTATTTTATTTAAGTGGAACTTTTACTGGAAGCTGAGAAATTTTTACTTCTTTTTTTTTTTTTTTTACTTTATATTTAAACCAGTTCTGATCAATGTGATCAGAACTTTGATCTCATTTGATTTAAAGTCAATATTTTAATTGGTAGAATGATTTCTATCTACATCTATACATTACGTAACATTTGAAGGAAAGCATTTAAAAAAAAAAAATTTTTTTTTTAAAAATTGGAAAATGATAAATTATAGGATTTACGTAGACAAATGCATCTGTAAAAATTTTTTTTTTTTTGCTTTTCAATTTTAAAATTCAAAAATTTTTAATCTATTTACTAATACTAAGAAATTAAATAGATGAATATTCTATTTGTAATCCAGATATTTTAATTTGAATTCCATATTATTTCAAAGTATTAAATAAATTGTTCATTTTAATTACTTATTTTTATTGACATGTTGATAAAAATTTTTAAATTTTACTATTTAAAGTTTCATTAAAATTAATTCGTACTATCTCTAGTAAAATGTTGTTTAAGTTGCATAAGTTTTGCTAAAGCACGGAAATTTTGAGCATCGTTCAATTGCGCAACCACTTCATCATTTGGTGGTAAGAAACCAGGTGGTGCAGCACCGACTGATAAACTTTGTGGTAAACCTGAGCCCGGTTGTGCAGCACTAACTGATAAATTTGAATCTGGTTGCGCAGCGTTGACTGGTAAACTTTGTGGTAATCCCGGTTGCGCAGCGTTGACTGGTAAATTCTGTGGCAACCTCGGTTGCGCAGCGTTGACTGGTAAACTTTGTGGTAATCCCGGCTGCGCAGCGTTGACTGGTAAACTTTGTGGTAATCCCGGTTGCGCAGCACTGACTGATAAACTTTGTGGTAATCCCGGCTGCGCAGCGTTGACTGGTAAACTTTGTGGTAATCCCGGTTGCGCAGCACTGACTGATAAACTTTGTGGTAAACCTGAGCTCGGTTGCGCAGCACTGACTAATAAATTTTGTGGTAACCTCGGTTGCGCAGCGTTGACTGGTAAACTTTGTGGTAATCCCGGTTGCGCAGCGTTGACTGGTAAACTTTGTGGTAATCCCGGTTGCGCAGCGTTGACTGGTAAACTTTGTGGTAAACCTGGGCCCGGTTGTGCAGCACTAACTGATAAATTTGAATCTGGTTGCGCAGCGTTGACTGGTAAACTTTGTGGTAATCCCGGTTGCGCAGCGTTGACTGGTAAACTTTGTGGTAATCCCGGCTGCGCAGCGTTGACTGGTAAACTTTGTGGTAATCCCGGTTGCGCAGCACTGACTGATAAACTTTGTGGTAAACCTGAGCTCGGTTGCGCAGCACTGACTAATAAATTTTGTGGTAACCTCGGTTGCGCAGCGTTGACTGGTAAACTTTGTGGTAATCCCGGTTGCGCAGCGTTGACTGGTAAACTTTGTGGTAATCCCGGTTGCGCAGCGTTGACTGGTAAACTTTGTGGTAATCCCGGCTGCGCAGCGTTGACTGGTAAACTTTGTGGTAATCCCGGTTGCGCAGCACTGACTGATAAACTTTGTGGTAAACCTGAGCTCGGTTGCGCAGCACTGACTAATAAATTTTGTGGTAACCTCGGTTGCGCAGCGTTGACTGGTAAACTTTGTGGTAATCCCGGTTGCGCAGCGTTGACTGGTAAACTTTGTGGTAATCCCGGCTGCGCAGCGTTGACTGGTAAACTTTGTGGTAATCCCGGCTGCGCAGCGTTGACTGGTAAACTTTGTGGTAATCCCGGCTGCGCAGCGTTGACTGGTAAACTTTGTGGTAATCCCGGTTGCGCAGCACTGACTGATAAACTTTGTGGTAAACCTGAGCTCGGTTGCGCAGCACTGACTAATAAATTTTGTGGTAACCTCGGTTGCGCAGCGTTGACTGGTAAACTTTGTGGTAATCCCGGTTGCGCAGCGTTGACTGGTAAACTTTGTGGTAAACCTGGGCCCGGTTGTGCAGCACTAACTGATAAACTTGAATTCGGTTGCGCAACGTTGACTGGTAAACTTTGTGGTGATCTCGATTGCGCAGCGTTGACTGGTAAACTTTGTGGTAATCCCGGTTGCGCAGCGTCGACTGGTAAATTGTGTGGTAAAGCTGAGCTCGGTTGTGCAGCACTGACTGGTAAACTTTGTGGTAATCCCGGTTGCGCAGCGTCGACTGGTAAATTTTGTGGCAACCCCGGTTGCGCAGCATTGACTGGTAAATTATGTGGTAAAGCTGAGCTCGGTTGTGCAGCACTGACTGGTAAACTTTGTGGTAATCCCGGTTGTGCAGCACTGACTGGTAAACTTTGTGGTAATCCCGGTTGTGCAGCACTGACTGGTAAACTTAAACTTGAGCCTGGTTGCGCGGCGCTGAGTGATAAAGTCTGTGGTAAACCTGAGTTCGGTTGCGCAATGGGAAGTGACGAGTGCATAGTAAATGGCGGTGAAGTATGAGCCTCTATTGGAGGAGACATCAATTCTGTCACTGAAAAGAAAAAGGAAAGTAAAAACACAACAAAAGAAACTGTTTAAAAATATTAAATGAAGCATAGAATATGGCGCAAATTTACTTTAGCGACTATTTCCGCAATTACTATGAAATTTTAATTGATTGAAATTTCATTTGTTTCAAAAAAGCATTTCTTGAATTGTCTGACTACTTTTAAATTTAAATTCAATGTAATTTGCATTTATTATTCAATTCAACTGATTTAATCTTCATTAATCATGAATTATTTTAATTTTCACTACGATAAAAAACTAAAAGTTAGAAAAAAAAAAAGAAAAAAATTTCCGTGTAAACTTAGAATAAAGTTAATTTAGAGAGAAGAACAAAACTGCAGTTTAATTTTTATAGTGAAACTCAAGTGCTGTTAGAAATTATTTCAAACTATCGCAGTCATTTTTTATTTTTATTTTTTTATTTTTTTTTTTTTTTTTTTGATATAAAACTTTAATTAACAATGTATAATTCATTCTTTTGGATAAAAAATTTCCCATCAAAATTAATTTATATATCTTTTTAAAGTAATAAGCAGTAAAGAAGATTTTTTTTTTTTTTTTTTTTGATGGATTTGTTATAAAAGCTTTGAGGAATAAATTGATATTATAATAGTAAATATACTGATTAGTTTAATGTTTAAAATTTTGATAAGAAAAATGATAACGAATAGTTGATGAAATGATTAATTTTAATTTTGAAAAAGAAATTTACCTGCGGAATTTTGCTTCACATTTTGAAATGTTACATGATGTGATTGTTGTTCAAATGGTAATACTTTAGTAGCACTACTTTTATCATCAAAAATAGCAATTGTTGTTAAAGTTGCAGTCTGTTGATGAAATTCATTATGATTAATTAATTTTAGTTGTTTACTTTCTAAGTCAAAATTTTTTTCAAATTGTATAAGTGGTGGTTCAGGTGCTTTAGTGGTTGTTAGATGGAGCAAACGATTTGTTGTATTCATTTCTAGAACGAATGGAAGAAGTTGATTTGAAGAATTAAACAATCTGAAATAAACAAAAAAAAAAAAGAAAAAATAATAATTTTTTCTATTTTTTAAAAGAAAAAAAAAGAGAGAGAGGGAGGGAGAGAGAAAGAGAGAGAGAGAGAGAAAAAATAATGTAAAATTAATGATTGAAAAAAATTCACTTAAAAAAGTATTATGCATTATTCTCGAAATGAATGCGCTTAAACATTATTAAAATTCTAGTTTTATGTCATATTGACAAAAAAAAAAAAATGAATGATTACGATTTAAAAACTTACATTTTTAAGCATAAATTTGATTTAAAAAAAATGAAGAACAAATGAAGAAATTATTTATTTTCATTCCAATTAATTTAATAAAACTTTTATTCTAAATATAATTTTATTAAATAGAATGAAAATATGTTGCAAAAAAAAAAAATGTTACAACAATAAAGCTAATTGATTTCTGAAATTTTCAATAAAATTTGTGATAAATTTGAAATGCAAATTAAATAAATAAAATAATTAATTTGAAATTAGTAAAAAAATTTCTAATCACTTTTACGGTGTAAGTGGAAGAGTATAAAACTGATTTGAAAAATGATCAAAATGTTGTAAATACCTGAAAGTTACCTATGTCTAAAATTAGACCATTGTAATGGAAGCTGTATTTGTTCCTGATCCAGAATTTTCTTCATTTTTCCTGAGAAAGTTTGACCGTGTAACTTTCGAAGACGAACAAATTGTGGCTGTTTTGATTTATTTCTCAATGTGATCAGTTGAAATTGATCATTGAGTGTGGTTGGAGTAGAAATTAATAATGGTTGAGCATTTTTACGTATGTTTCCTCTTCTTTCATTCGTATTCACGTTTTCCACGCTCGTACGTGTCGTATTCCTATCAATTTTAAATGGAAATTTCTCGAAATTATTGCTTAAAAATTGTCAACAATAATATGACATCAAAAGCAATAAAAAAAAATGTTTGAATATACTAAAATTTGAAATATCGTAGATAAATTTTACGAAAATTTAAGTACCTCTGAAATACTTTGCTATTAAAGTTAGCTGTAGCAAAATTTTCTCGAAATTTTTTATTGATTGAAAC